TCGGGATTTTGGCCAGTGATCCACACCTTTTTGTAAAAATATTTTGAGAACATTTTTCATGCGCATACTAGCTTCTGAGGTAGTGTGAGATATCCACAGGTGTGGAAAGTTGATGATATGTGTATATGTTGTGTAACTGTGCAAGTTGTGACGATTATGGTATGTATAAGTATGGTATGCAGTTGTGGAGTATGAAAAGTGTGACTATGGCTAAGAAAAGCCAATGCATATGGTTGTGAGTATATATGTTTGCGATGAATTATTTTGCAGGATAAGTTGCAAGAACTGTTAGCCCATTATGCGAGTAACTCATGTCAAAATATTATTTGGGTAAATTTTGATAATTAATGTAACACCCGAGATTAATTCCGCTGCAATTGTATGAACAATATGATTAGGCAAAACATATAGGGTAGGGTGTTACAGTTTGGTATCAGAGCCCGGTTCCCTCTTTTTGTTGTTATGATGTACTATGCCAAAAGGGAAGCTAAATACTTCAAAGGAGGGGAGTACCCCATAATGACTTAAACTGGGAATTGAGTTTTACATGATTATGTGTATTGGTATATTGGATGAAATTACCTGCATCATGGTTTTCAAAATTGAGTTTTGAACTTATTGTTTTCAAGTAATTATTTTCGGAAACTTTTGTTTTAACCAAGTGAAAGATTTGGTGAAGAATTAATTTTGTGTGGATCAATCTAAGGCCAATATTTCCTTGTAGCTCGCACGGAAGTTGTGAAAATGTTCCTACTGACCAGTCGAGAGGAGTGGGGGCGGTTGATGTAAGACCGCCAGTATTAGACTATGCAAAGATGAAGAGTTTGGGTGGTAGGGACTTTAAAGGAGATGTGAGTCTAGATGTTGTAGTATAGTGGTTGAGAGAGATGGAAGATGTGTTTGAGTATCTTTATGCAACCCCAGAGGAAAAAGTACAATATGTTGTTTTTCTCCTAAAGGTACGCGAGGAGCTGGTGGTCCTCAGTCTCTAGAGTTAATGGTGAACGAGTTCAGTTCACTTGGGAGGAGTTCTTGAAGGCCTTTAAGACAGAGTTTCTTCCCGAAGCTTTTATCAGGGCAAAGAATAATGAATTTGCCAACCTTAAGCAGGAGAACATGGCAGTTACTGAGTGTACCATCAGGTTTGTTCGACTACTCTACTTTGAAGATGGGTTGGCGGATACTGAGCATAAGAAAAAGATGAGATACTTACATGGTCTGCGCCTAGGGTTGAAAGAAAAGATCCACATGGTTGATAAAGAGAGCATGGCCGCAATCAAGGAGGCAACACTTAAAGCATGAAGCCTATGAAGTTGAGGGTAGAGAGGAACACAAGGCCAAAGAAGAGGAGAAGAAGAGGAAGTTTGGAGTGAGTTATTCTAGACCTCGTTACCCATCCAAGAGAGGTCCCTGCGGTTTTGGGAGAACACCGAGTCAATCTATGCCAGGAACATCATACAAGGCACCAGTTTCCTCAGCCACACAGGCTCCAGTTTGTCAGAAGAGATACTTTGGAGAGTGTTGGAGGTTTTCTGGAGTATGCTTTCAATGCGGCCAGTCGGGTCACATAATGAGGAGCTGTCCTTATCGGGGCGGAGGAAGACCTACTCAGTCCGAACCTTCAGTGCACTTTAGTAGAGCCCCAGCTAGAGGTGGTTACCAGGGAGACCGTAGTGGATTTCAGAGTGGTCGTGGTGGTTCACAGGGTGGTAGAGGTGGTGGTCAAAATCAGCCATCAGGAAGTGGTACGCAGGGTACCAGAGCACAGGGAGCACCGAGGGTTTATGCAATGACTCGAGGTGAGGCAGAAGTGGCACAAGAAGTTGTGACTGATATGCTTTCTATCCTTAGCAAGCAATTGTATGCTTTGATCGATACTGGTTCCTCTCACTCATTCATGTTATATACGTTTGCACATATGCTACGCTTAGTTCCAGATAAGCTAGGTTATACCTTATGTGTTAAAACACCTATGGGAGATACCTTGAAGGTAGACTCAGTTATTAGAAGTTCCTTCATTTGTGTGGAAGGAGCTTTCCTAGCAGCAGATTTAATTCTACTACCTTTTGATGAATTTGATGTTATCCTTGGAATGGACTTTCTGGCAACACATGGAGCTGTTGTGGATTGTCAAAAGAAAGAAGTGTTATTCAACACACTAGATAAAGGTCCTGTTGTATTCCGAGGCATTAAGAAAAATGAGACTCATGGTTTTCTTTCTGCCTTGGAAGCTTTTCGATTAGTGAAGGAAGGTTGTGAAGCCTTTCTTGCTCAAGTTACTATTGTAAATGATAAGAAGGTTGAGGATGTAGAGGTGGTAAGGGTAAGGGAGTTTCCTGATGTATTCCCCGAAGAACTTCCCGGCCTTCCACCAGAAAGGGAAGTAGAGTTTGACATTGAATTGGTACCTGGCACAACACCAATTTCAATGGCACCATATAGAATGGCACCAATTGAGCTGAAGGAGCTTAAAGAACAATTGCAAGAATTGCTAGACAAGGGTTTTATTCGACCTAGCATCTCACCTTGGGGTGCACCGGTTTTGTTTGTCAAGAAGAAAGATGGCTCCATGAGAATGTGCATTGACTACCGGAGGTTAAATAAGGCGACAGTGAAGAATCGTTATCCCCTTCCTAGAATAGATGATTTGTTTGATCAATTGCAGGGTGCATCTGTCTTTTCTAAGATTGATTTGAGGTCTGGATACCATCAACTGAAAGTGGCAGATGGAGCGACCTCAAAGACAGCTTTTAGAACAAGATATGGGCATTATGAGTTCCTGGTAATGCCTTTTGGACTCACTAATGCACCAGCGGTATTTATGGCTCTTATGAAAGAGTTCTCCATGAATATCTTGATAAGTTTGTGATTGTGTTCATAGATTATATTCTCGTCTATTCTAAAAGCGAGGAGGAGCACAAAGCTCACCTTAGAATTGTGTTGCAAATTCTAAGGGAGAAACAATTATACGCAAAATTCTCAATGTGAGTTTTGGCTGAAGGAGGTTATATTTTTGGGGCATGTAATTTCTGGAAGAGGAGTGGAGGTGGATCCGAAAAAGGGGGAAGTAGTGGTGAGTTGGGCTCCACCAAAAGATGTGTCAGAGTTGAGAAGTTTTCTTGGCATGGCGGGTTACTATCGGCGGTTCGTAGAAGGACTTTCTAAAATTGCTGTACCATTGACTAAACTGTTGAGGAAGAATACCAAGTATGTTTGGGATGAATCATGTCAAAGGAGTTATGATGAACTGAAGAAGAGATTGACCACAGCACCAGTACTTGCATTACCTTCGAATCAGGGAGAGTTTGTGGTGTATAGTGATGCCTCGTATCTAGGATTGGGTTGTGTGTTAATGTAAGATGGAAGAGTTATTGCATATGCCTCTAGGCAATTGCGTCCTCATGAAGTAAATTATCCCACTCATGATTTGGAGTTGGTAGCGGTGGTATTTGCTCTCAAGATTTGGCGACATTATTTGTATGGTGAGACTTTTAAAATCCTCACTGATCATAAAAGCCTGAAGTATATTATGGATCCGAAGGATTTAAATAGTCGCCAGAGGAGATGGATTGAACTTCTAAGAGATTATGATTGTACAATTGATTACCATCCAGGTAAAGCTAATGTAGTTGCTGATGCTCTGAGCAGAAAAGGCAAGAAGAATATAACGGATCTGGTTGATTTGAGGGCAATGAATGTTGATTTGGAAGTGGATGGTGTAACAGGGTTACTAGCTCGGTTGAACATTCCACCTTTGTTGCACGACAAAATTCGTGAGAAGCAGAAGGAGGACCCAGAGTTGGCAAAAATCATTCAAGACATTGAGGAAGGAAAAGAAAGCCCATTTGAAATGGTAGATGGCATGTTGAAGATGAATGGAAGAGCATGTGTTCCTAATGTTGATAACTTGAGGAAAGAGATCCTAGATGAAGCTCTTTCTTCTGCTTATGCTATGCACCCAGGAGCAACTAAAATGTATCACACGATCAAACCATATTTTTGGTGGCGTGGGATGAAAAAGGAAGCGGCTGAACATGTTTTCACATGTTTGGTATGTCAGAAAGTTAAGGCAAAACATCAAGCTCATGTGGGAAAACTGCAATCACTTCCAATTCTAGAATGGAAGTGGGAAAGAATCACAATGGATTTTGTATATGGTCTCCCATCATCAAGGGGAAAAGATGCAGTATGGGTTATTGTGAACCGACTGACCAAATTGGCTCACTTTTTACCCATTAGATGGAAACCATCACTGGAGACCTTGTCACAACTATATATTAAGGAGATCGTCATATTGCATGGTGTGCCGATTTCTATTGTCTCTGATCGAGACCCGAGCTTCACATCTCAGTTTTGGCAAAGTTTACATGATGCCTTGGGAACTAAACTGCATTTTACTTCAGCTTATCATCCTCAAACAGATGGGCAGAGTGAACGAACCATCCTGACCTTAGAGGAGTTACTTCGATCATGTGTAATGCAATGGGAGGAATCATGGATTGACCATTTGCCCTTAATTGAGTTTGCTTACAACAACCAGGACCATAGTAGCTTGGGTGTTCCACCATATGAAGCACTTTATGGGAGGAAATGTAGAACATTGAACACCACTATGTTGGGATGTAGAAGGAGCAAGGCAAATCTCAGGGCCACAAATAGTTCAGATCACAGTTGACAAGGTCAAGGAAATCACGTAGCGTATGATAGATGATAGCCAATTTTGCAGTGTTGTGAAAGCCGAGCCGAGTCGGCCGGCCGAGCCGCCAAAACCGCCAACCGGGCACAATACCGGCTCGGATCAGCTATTTAGCTGGACTGGTTCTCTGGGGCGGCCGGCGAGCGGCCGAAGTGGTTAACCGCTTGAGCCGCTCGAACCGGTCGTCCGGTTTTTTACATTCGGCCGGTTGGTGTAATTAAAAAAAATTAAAAACTAAAAGACCGAAAATTAAAGGGGAAGGTGGGTCTGGGTCGGGGTCGGGCAGAACCCTAATTCCCAATTTTCATTCGCCATCTTCTTCTTCGTGGAGAGCCTGGAGACAAGAAGCGTCGTCGCCCTCGCCATCTTCCCCAGCGCCGTCGCCGTCGCATCTGGACTGCACTTCAGCTTCCCCAGCGCCATCGCCATCTTCCCCAGACCCGTCGCCATCGCCATCTTCCCCAGACCAGTCGCCATTTCCCTCCGATTTGGGCGAGCCCCTGCCGGCGAGTGCCCCTGTGAGGTCTCCCTTACCTTCCCCGTTCTCCATTACCATTACTACTCCGATCGATTACCCCCAGTGAGGTCTGCCTGCATTTTCCGATCGATTACCCCCTGTATAGTTGTGTAAAACATGGACTGATTATTCCCTGCTACACTGAATAATTGAATATGATGTAAGAAGTGTCAACTATTTATACAGATGACTATTTATTAAGTACCGGTTCTCAAACGGTTTTTAAACGGTCTAATGCCGGCTGGACCACTAAAGACAGAGCCGTTCACGTTTCCGGGTCATACTCCGGTTCGGTTCTGAAAACATTGCAATTTTGACATAAAACGGCGAAGCGACCTTCACCCTCGCCTTTCCCGTTCCTAGGGTTCCGCTTGCCGCCCCCACTCGGCGGCGATGGCGAATCGCACTGACCCTGCGGCGAAGAGCATCAGGGGAACGAATCCGCAGAACCTGGTGGAGAAAATCGTTCGCTCGAAGATCTACCAGAACACGTACTGGAAGGAACAATGCTTCGGATTGACGGCGGAGACCCTCGTGGACAAGGCGATGGAGCTCGATCACATCGGCGGGACGTACGGCGGCACCAGGAGACCAACTCCTTTCATCTGCTTAATCCTGAAGATGCTCCAGATTCAGCCGGAGAAGGATATTGTGGTCGAGTTCATCAAGAACGACGACTACAAGTATGTTCGTGTACTCGGCGCGTTCTACCTCCGGCTGACCGGCACAGACATCGACGTCTACCGGTATTTGGAGCCGCTGTACAACGACTACCGCAAGCTCAGGATGAAATCGGCCGACGGAAGTAAGTTAATGCTGGTGCGCGATAAACCTAACCCCATCTAGAAGTGTTTGAAGTTCCTCTGATTATCTACTTTTTGTGGTTCAGAATTTATCTTGACCCATGTGGATGAGGTGATTGACGAGCTGCTGACGAAGGACTACGCCTGCGACATTGCACTACCCCGTGTTAAGAAGAGGTGCGGAGTGTAACGCTTCATTTCCTTAACTTTGAATGCCTTCGATTTTAACATTGTTGATTGAGTGGAGCTTTCAACGTATATGATTTGGTTTGCCCAGATGGACCCTAGAGTCGCATGGTATACTAGAACCAAGGAAGAGTGTGTTGGAAGATGACTTTGAAGAGGAAGAAGAGAAAGAGGAGACTGAGCAGATGGATGCAGTGGAGAATGGTGTCAACGATGAGAAGGTAGTCTTCTTCATTGTAGAACCCTTTTTTCACTGGTTATGGCCTCTAGTAGCTGTATGCATTGACATGGTTTATGTAAACTTTGACAGGATTATCACCATGGGAGAAGCCCCACGAGAGAAAGGGATAGAGACAGAAGACGGGACAGTCATCGCTACAGGTTTGCCTCTTTCCGTTTGCTGTTTGGAATTCGTTTTGTGTTTGAATGTTAGTCTTATGTGTTGAGATAATATGCTATGCTGATATTTAGAGAGGAATTACTATCATGATGTGTACAATCTGATTGAAGATTGCTGTATTATTTGGTCTACGGATTGGAAAGATTAGAATCTGTTCTATTGCTTAACCCTAGCTAGATTGAACATGTTACTGTAGCTTTAGCTCCTCCATTAGTGGACCGAATAACTAAATGAGTATATAATTTACTTATGGTCCTTTTCATGATGTGCAATCTGTTTGTAGAATGCTGTGTTCTATGGTATAGGGGTTGGAAAGAGTAAAACAATGTGTCCTCCTACCAACTCCGGTCACATGGCTAGAATGAACATGTTACTGCATCACTAATCTGTCCAATAGTAAATAATAACAGCAACTCTGAATCCTGATTTCCCTTAAAATAGCTAATTTAGTCATAGTTGGAAATGAAATGCTAGAGATGATTGAAGAAGATGCTTGTGGAAGCTGTTAAACAACATTCAAAGTACTCATGTACTTGTATGTACACTGTTCTAAGTGTCACCATCTCCACCGTGGCATTTCAGGCCGTTTGGTGGCTCAACAGCTTCCTACAGTAAGTAAAAGCTAATCGCTGATCCTGCCAGGTTTCTCTGCACTGACAGTGTGCAGCTGAGAAGTATGATGGATCAGACATTTTATGATTTCTATGTCATGGCATAGTTCCGAAATTTTCTCTTAACTTGCGAATACTTGCTTGGTGGGTTGCTCAATTGCTGGATTATTTAAATAGCATTCAGCTTTTCATTTTTGCTGTGAATTGAACTCTCTGTTAAATTAGGCTTGCCTTTAGGCTTACAGTTTTATTCTGGTGAATGAACGCATTCTCAAGGCCTTTTCGCTTTTCCTCTCTACGCAGGGACCGTGACTACGATAGGGACCGTGGGCGTGGACGAGATAGAGACAGGGACCGCGATAGGGACCGAGACCGTGATAGAGACAGGGATCGTTACCGCCTAAGAGACGAGAAGGACTACAGTCGCGATAGGGACCACGACAGAGAAAGGGAGGGAAGGGACAGAGAGAGGCGAGACAGGGACCGTGGCAGTGGGAGGCGGAGGAGTCCATCAAGGAGCCGGAGCAGGAGTAGAGATCGGAAGAGGCGTCGGAGCCCCAGTCCCAGAAGGGACAGAGGAGAGGAGGCCAAGAAGAAGGAGAAGAAGAAGAGCGAGAAGAAGGAGAAGAAAGATGACGGCACTGATCATCCGGATCCTGAGATTGCAGAGGCCAACAGGATCCGTGCATCTCTTGGTTTGAAACCACTGAAGTGAGCTTTTTCTGTTCTCCGCAACCTTTGGCGGCATGGTTTAGTGCGTATAGTGAGCCTTTTGGTTTTAGCTTCTGCATCACATATTTGTAGTGTAATGAGTTTGTCTTTAGAGTTGAGAGTGTTCCGTAATTGGATTAGAGAGATCAGTGCCTATGCCATTGCGATGTACTGTGTCTGTGTATCATCCTTTGACATGTTCGAAGTTCCAACCATATACTATTGGTTAGGGGTGAACAAAAACACCCGCAAACCGACCCACCCGTCCAACCCGACCCAACCCACCCGTATTTATCGCTAAATCGAAGATTTTGGGTTGGATGAGGGTTTTCTTTTGTACAACCCGCCTCTTTTGGGTTGGGTTTGGATTTTGGATTACACAACCCGTAGAACCCGACCCAACCCGTGTTCCAATTATTGGTATGAGTTCGTATCCAAAAAAATATTTATGTCGTATATAGTCATACTTATGAGAAAATTAAGATATTTCGCCATGTTTTCCTCTTTAAGTCTCACTAATCTAATGCATTCTTTGACTTAAAGTTTAGACATATATTTAATATAGTTATGATTCACGTAATTTTTTTTTCTTTTGTACAAGTTTAAAAGAATATCATATTATGGATGCGTTCATTTGTAACCTTTTTAGCCTATTTCAACAAATGTCGTGAAAAAAACTAGACATAAGTTGAAGTAAATCAAGTTTTACTAAACTTCAAACAATATTTGTGAATTTTGATACCTTTCACCTCGGTTTCGTTTGAAAATTTTAATTAGTTATACAATATTTTTATGATGTAGAATAATTACATATTTTGTGTTGGGTTGGATTTTTACTTAAAAATATCGCCAACCCGACCCAACCCAATTAGAAACAAACCGTAGGGTTTAGATTTTTTTGGGTGGGTTTGGGTTTCATATTTCCCAAACCGTAGTGTATGGATCGGGTGATTAAAATGTCTAAACCCGAACCACCCGACCCATGTACACCCCTACTATTGGTCACAGAAAGCCAGTGCTAGAAACTGGTTAAATATGGATTGGTGCGGATATTGACTATCTCTTATTCTACTTAAATTAGTTCGGGTTTGTTATGCTCATAACAATCGAATAGAACATAAGAAAATCAAAATTATACAAGAAGCAATGTCGGATCATAACAATCGAGTAGAACATAAGAAAATCAAAATTATACAAGAAGCAATGTCGGATCAGATTTTAGACGTCAACGGTTATCCATCGTTAATGATTTATATTTATAACTTAACCAATATGTTAATATGTAGATGTATATTGACATTACATAAATGAAAAAAATATATATATAGATTACTAAAATAAAAAATAAAAAATTAGTATAAATTAATACAATTTGATGAATGTATAATAAATATCTAAAGAAAAATAATTATTATTGTTAAACAAGCATGTGTAATCAGGCAGGTTCATGTTGAATGGTGATAAAATCATGTCCACCTAATCCATTAAAAATACTTTGAAATTTTACCGTACTTGATTAGGTCGAATTCACGTTGCTATCGACGAATCCGGTTATTTTTGCTAGCGCTAAATGCTTAACATTTGTAGCATTTTCCTCACAGGGCTTTTAGCCCAAACACGTTCCAATGATACCCGCAGGCCCTTTCCCGCACTCTCCAAAGCGAATCCGAGTCAGAGAAGGAAAGAAGAGGAAAACTATATAATAAACCCTTTTTCCCCACTCCGCTAATCGCCACCACAACTCCCAAGCTAAACCCTGCTGTCTCTTCCTCTTACTCTCTCAGCCGTTGCGAGATCGGTTTCACTGAACGACTCTGTCGTCGTCTGCGGATTACGGCCTTTGTTGCGGTCCAGATACGCTTGATTTTGTCTATTTGGCAGGTCGATCGGATCGGTTTTGATAGTGTTGCACCATGTTGAAGCGCGCTCAAGGTAGGTTTCTTTATGTCCAATAGTTTCCCTAACTTTTCCCCGTTCTGGAAATTGTATTAGTGAATCGCTGAAGTCAAGTGGATGGTCAATTTAGATTTTGTTTTTAGTTTGTATATCTCAGTTGTTCTCTTGTGTGGAAATTTTCTGCTTCTGGTGACGTTTGGATATAATGGTAGATTATGGGTTTAAATATCTTGATATTGATGTTAGTTGTTAGATGAATCTGTTGATGGCTAAATTGAGCGAGACACTTATATACGCTTGTTTGGCAGAGCTGATAATAAGTGTTGGACAGAAGCAAGAGGCTCTTCAGACTCTTCACAGCCTGATTACCTCGAAAAGGTATCGAGCATGGGAGAAGTCGCTCGAGCAAATCATGTTTAAATATGTCGAGCTGTGCGTCGAGCTGAGAAGAGTGAGATTCGCCAAGGATGGACTGATGCTGTATCGCATAGTGTGTCAGCATGTGAATGTGAGTTCCTTGGAGGAGGTGATCAAGCACTTTATGCATTTCTCAGCCGAGAAAGCTGAGCAGGCTCGAACGCAAGCACAAGCGCTGGAAGAAGCTCTTGATGTTGACGATCTCGAAGCTGATAAAAGACCAGAAGACCTGATGCTTAGCTATGTCAGTGGGGAAAAGGAGAAGGAAAGGTCTGACCGCGAGCTTGTTACCCCTTGGTTCAAGTTCCTGTGGGAGGCCTATAGAACTGTGCTGGAAGTCGTGAAGAACAACTCAAACTTGGAGGCACTATATGCGGTAATTTTTCCTGACCTTGATTTTAGTTTTCAATGGATGCTGGCTCCTCCATGGAAGTACATATGGTCGAAACTGAATCCGTTATGTATTTTGTGACCTGCAGATGACTGTACGTAGAGCCTTCCAATTCTGCAAACAATACAAACGAATTACTGAATTTAGGCGCCTGTGTGAAGTTATTAGAAATCATCGTGCCAACCTTCAACCTGAAAGCTTGAAGATGAATCTCAATATAAGATTTGAGCAGCTCAAGGTTGCCACTGAGCTTCAGCTCTGTAAGGTATATAACCTGATTCATTAGTTGTCTGTCGATTGAGATTTATCCATTTCAGGAGCTTACTTTATCTTGGTACTCTTCTGATTTGCATCTACAGGAAGCATTTCGCTGTGTGGAAGATATTCACGGCTTGATGTGCATGGTGGAGAAGACTCCCAAGGCGTGGGTTGTGTACTATGCTAAACTGACTGAGATCTTTTGGATCTCTTCAAGCTATCTTGATCATGCATATGCATGGCTCAAGATTTTCACCCTCCATCAGAGCTTCTACGACAACTTAGGCAAGAAGAACTATCAGATGATTGCTTCGGCTGTTGTTTTGGCAGCTTTAGCAGTGCCTCCATATGACACTCGCCGTGCATCTCATGTGGAAAATGAAACCGAGAAGGTGCTTAATCTGGATGCCAAAGCTGAGAGCAGAAAAGAGGCATTGCTGTTAATACTTCATTTTGTTGGTTTTCATTGATGAATTGCTTTGAAACTCATGTTTTCTCTTATTTTGCAGCTTTCAAGGGCCGCTCTTCTGTCTGAACTGGTAATTTGAGAAATACTCTTTCATTTATAATTTTGGGCCGTTAGCCTTAGCTATAAGTATCATCTGTAGGGAAGGGTACAATTTGTTCTGCAGTTGTTATTCTTTCTTTTAACCCCGTCATCCATTTGGGTTCTCTTACTTAAACTTGTGTCGCCTTGTCATGTTTTGACATTATGATCAGGTGTCCAAGGGTGTGCTGGGCTGTGCGACTCAAGAGGTGCAGGATATTTATCATCTTCTAGAAGATGAGTTCCTCCCCGTTGATCTTGGTGCAAAGTTACAGCCTTTGCTATCCAGAATCTCTGGACTTGGGCTAAAGCTTGCTTCAACTGCTTCTATGCAAGAGTATAAGCTATCCCAATACATCCCTGCCCTTGAAAAGCTTGCTACTCTCAGATTGCTCCGACAGGTACCTGACTCTCTCTTCCTTCCCAGTTTATGTTAGCTCTGGACAGCCCGGTTATCGTATCCTGACAATGAAATTTGTTCTGTTCTTCCAGGTCTCTCAAGTGTATAACACAATGAGGATTGAGAACTTATCCCGTATGATCCCCTTCTTTGGTTTCGATGTTGTGGAGAGAATTGCAGTTGATGCAGTGAAACACGAGTTCATTGCCATGAAAGTGGATCATATGAATAGTGTTGTCATGTTCGAAGATGTGGTACATTTTTCTCATATTGGTTCATGTTATTAGTCCCGTTAGAGCTTCCAGAAATATAGAGTGTATATGTGTTTTAGTTTTGATCATCCTGCAAACTTCTTTCAGCTCCTCGAATCTGATGGCCTTCGAGACCATTTGGCTGCTTTCGTCAAATCCCTGAACAAAGCAAAGGCCATGATGTATCCTTCTGCTAAGATATCATCAAAGCTAAGTGACATTTTACCTCCACTGGAAGAGGCTCTTTATAAGGAACACAAGGGACTTCTTGCTAGAAAGTTGATAATAGAGAGACGAAAGGAAGAACAAGAACGCCAACTTCTCGAAACAGTAACGACACATTTTATACTCTTATTGTATAACCTCCTGTGCTGTAATTTGGTTGTGTTATAACACTAGGATGATCTTTCACAGGAACGAGAGCAAGAGTCGAAAAGATTGTCCAAACAGAATATAACAGAAGAACAAGAGCAAAAGAGGCTTGCAGCGGAGCATGAACGCCTGAGGAACCAGAGGATTTTTCGGGAGATTGAGGAGTGCAAACTTGAACAGGCACAGGCGTTGCTTGATCAAACTGAGAAGCATAGTAAGAGGCAGGAAATGGTGAAGAAACTGCATAAGCTTGCCAAAACAATGGATTATCTGGAGCGGGCTAAGAGAGAAGAAGCAGCTCCATTGATTGAAGCCACCTTCCAGCAACAGCTTGTCGAAGAGAAGGCCCTACACGAACGCGAACAACAGGTGAGCTGTCTTCCTGCATGAGCTTTATTAATTTTTCATGGCTTCATTTGTTAAATCCTTAATCCGCTACAATACATGAGACTTCAGTATTAACAAGTACGTCGAATGGTTCAGCTGGAGGTCGAACTGAGCAGGCAACGCCACGCTGGAGACCTCAAGGAGAGGAATAGGCTGTCCCCCATGATTGATAATAAGGTAAAGTACACATTGTCAATCCACATTGCACTCTGCTACTCGGCTTGTTTTGGTGATGCTGATACTGCCGCGTTTTTGGGGCCATATACGTGCAGATGATTTTCCAGGAGAGAGTGATCGCCCGTCGACAAGCAGAGTTTGAGCAAAGGCAAGCTTCGAGGGTGGCGAGGATCAATCAGATAATTCAGACTAGGAGACAGGATAGGGAGATCCAAAGGAAGGAGATATTCTACGTCAAAACTGAGCAGGAGAGGCTCGCTAGAGTCAAAGAGGAAGGTAAAATACAAGAAGCTGAGTGCGAGGCACAGCTGGGCGAAACAGCAGAGAAGCATGGGTTCCCTGCTGCTGCACCCCAGTGATACGTCCCGAGGCACCGTCGTGGTTGGTGAGGGTTTTGATTCTATCATGTTGTGGAGGAGACAGAGACACTATGCTAATGTTGAATGAGTGAGAAGTGGCTGAGTTGATTGTTTATATTGGTATCATGGTTTTTCTCAAGTTTTGATTGTATCATGGCTTGTGCATAATGTGGTTGAAGAGACTGCTCTGCGATTTCGTGGCACTAGGAAGGAGCCGGTTAAGTACCCGTGTTTATGAAACCAAATCCGCGTTCTGAATATATTTTGCAAGGTTGGTCACTGGCATTACAGAAAATGTTCATGTTTGGTCACCCAAATTAATTAATTCTGTTCGTAGTCACTAAAATTAGTTAAGTATGTCAAGTTTGGTCTCTCTCCGTGTAATTTCATTAACTTTTGATTTAAATATATGACATGTCAACTAAAAAATAGTTATATTTTATATTTTCCACCTCATTTCCGATTTTGGTTCCATTTCGATTTTTCGCTTCACTGGAGAACTGTTCTGACCCGGAAACCGCCCAGCCGTTCGCCGCTTCTTTCTCCGTGGGATTCACTTTCTCCAGGCGAATCTAGACAACCCACTTCTTTCGAATCCGCCCAGCCGTCCACCGCACTAGACAGCCTGCTCAAGGATGAACGGCCGGACAGAAACTGTTAGAAACCGAACAGAAAAATTAGGGTTACCGAATCTGGCTGAGTCGCGGACTAGATCGCTCTCTTTAAAACGTTCGCGGCACTGCCTCATAATTCGCACAGCAGACTATCAGTCGGTCGCCTCCAGGATAAAACAATCACTCTAATTTTGTTGCTCATCGGTTTTGTGCGAAAATCGGAGCTCTATAAACTCACTCTCTCTCATGTTTATGCTCTGCTGATGTATGTTTAGAGGGTCTAGGGGTCTGCTATTTATAGGAGCAGAAAACCCATAATATTCTTTCTATCTTTGGGAATAAGTCACATTTTAATTAGGAAGATATTTACTCACACAATTAAAATATATATCATATTAAGATAATTAATCCTAATTATCTCCATAATATTCTTTTTATTAATTATCCTTCTAGAAAGAATACTGGATAGTTAATTCAATACAGCTTTCAAAGCTATTCATTCCCAACAATCTCCCACTTGAATAGTTTTGAAACTATCTCTGAGCATCAACAGATCCATAGGATCAGGCATAAGCTAAGGTATCGCGAAGATTTAAACCTTAGCATAGTGGTTACACTTCCGATTTCATAAGGGTGACTCGTAGTCTTGAACCCTAAACTACGGGAAAAAATGGCCTCTTGCAACCCTAGAAATATGTTGCGTAAAGTCTGAAAAGAGTTGCAACATCCTACGACAACACTTTTACTAGGGTTGCATATAGTGGGGGTTGCAAAAGGAATACACAACTGTTTTTTCATTTTGCGCAACCAAATAAAAACGGTTGTGTATGAACCTAGACAACTTTAGGCAACACATTTTCTAATCTTCGCAACACATTTTAAGAACATAGACAACATTTTTTAATATTTTTTGCAACAACTATTTCTTTTTTTGTGATGAACCTCAATCGTCACAAAAGACTGACCTAGTTGTGACAATTTTGTTTGTAACATATGTTAATGTTTGTGAGACAATGTTATCGTCAATAAAGATATTTTTACTGACGAGCTAGGGCCAATACGAAAACCACAACAGTGACATGTCTAGTTGTCACAAATAATTGTCTCATACGTTATATTTGTCGTCACCGAAGTATCTATTTGTGACAAATTCTATTTTCATGTATGTTATATTGCGTGATAAAATTGAATTCTCATACGTCAGATTGGTTGTCACCAAATATCTATTCGTGACAAATTCAATTGTCACGTATGTAATATTGCGTGACAAATTTGAATTGTCACTCTTAGTAGTTAATATAATTTTATGACTATATATTTGTCAGAATAGAATCATTTTGTGACAAGTTTTTTCATCATAAAAATAGCATCGGCGAGATAGATATTTCCTGCAACGAGAGTGAAAGTAGGAAGGACATTTTGGTCTTCACAATTACTTTTTTTTATTCATTAAAAAGGACACGTATTGGGATTCGAACCATGACCATTTTAAAGAAAAGCAAGGATAATAACCAATCACACTAAGCACATTTGTTGTATCTTTTTAAATTAAAAACATATAATAGCAGGGAGGAAAAAACCCTTCCCCCATTTCAAATTCTCTGCTCCATGAGCGTTTGTAGGAAGGGTAGAATAGTGAGTGTCAATTTTTTTCTCTTTCCTCTGTAGAACGGGCCAACTTACCGTACACATGTGAATTTAAATGGGTCCAGGAGTGTAATTTTTTTTTCTTTAAACCCTTTTATTTCTCCGTGGTGATAAAATATATATGAAAAGGCAAAAATAATACTCCTTTTTATTGTTAAAAATAAAAAATTTAATAATAAACTAATGCATGGTATCTAATGGGCTAACCGCTAACCATAAAATAAAAGAGTTGAATGGGCTTGACCTACATGGGATTTGGCCATCAAGTAAAACAAATGAAAATCATTGGTTTGTCATTCTAAAACAAGCTAATTTCTCTGGCATAATATATATTATGCTATTATTTTATATCTTAGTGGCTAAAATATAATGTATTTTAAATTTATTCAATGGTTCAACCTCGACCAACACAATTAGTCCAATTTTTATAATTTCATATATATATTTTATAATTATTTGATATCATAATCATCAAATTATAGTGTATTTTATAGGGAATTGTTTGGTATTTGTAAGTAAAAAACTAAACATAAAGATCTATTTGGTTATTTTAAACATTTTAACGATCCTAAACATTTTCAGATCCTTTTGAATTTCTATGGTTTTATTCCCGAATAAGTGATGTGCAAATGGCGAATTGTAGTCGTCTCTTTTCTTTCACTATTTTTTATTTTCAAATAGAAAGTTTAAAAATAAAGAATAATTAGAATTTGGCATGGGTCGGTCAAACAGGCTGAATTTCAAGTTTTGACCCGTTTGTTTTATGCATTGCAAATTTATTAGCATGTTGATGGAAATGGCTTGGAAAAAAGACATATAAGTTGTACCTTTGCAGAAATGTCCTCAAATGTTTGAATGCTTTGTGAATCAGGTTCCGTGAATTTTGTGATGGTGTATGTGCTTGACAATTGCTCGATGTTGTAACTACTTAATTTGAGAGTAAATCTTTTGATTTTCCCTATGAGTTGTGATACCAGTTCTGGTGGTTGCAGCATGTTGTTGTTGTTGGCCTGTAAAAGTTGTTCCGCCGTGGTGCTAAATACCTTTCTTTCTTTTTTAACAAATTGTGTAGTAGTGCTATGAAACAGACCACCCATGAATGCTACGCTTATTATGGCCTGTTCTTACTTCCGGTGGTGAGAAATTGTGAGTTGAGAATCATATTTGCCTACCGCACTGTGTCTGGCTGGTGGCTGCTTACTGTGCTCTCTAGAGTTATGAAACAGACTACCCATGAACGTTACCCTTAAGAGTCCATAACTTTGCGAAAAACCAAATTTAGGCAATCAAAGGTGGTGGATGCGTGATGATTTTTTATGACTTAATTGTTTGTGAATTGGATATCTAATCTTTGTATGATTAGAGGGGATGTTTGCTTAATAGAATAATCCATTTTAATTCATGTTTATTTTTAACATGAACTTTAGTAACTCAAAACCTTCGAGACACATATCACCTACTGCATTGTATCATTTTGCCTAGGTGCTTGCTGTGTTGTCAAACTTCTTTGCTGCTGCTGCTGCTGCTTTTACACTAATAGGGGAGTTAAGAACCCATGAATGTTTCTGTTTGACACAAACAGGAGGACTTGCTTCTAAATCGTGCACTAAAGATGATTGGAGGAAACATCTCTATTGCAGTTGATATACTGGAGACCAGAACAAAAGCAATGTATAACATCAAAACCAACCATCTGAACTATTAGCATTGTTGCTTTACTATTTTTTCGTGGTTGAGTCTCTCCTTCAAAAAATTTAGTTTGATTTTAGAAAATTTTGCTTCTGCAGTTCTGTCTTGCCATCAACGCATTCAGTAGATGGAGATGGCAGTGGCGAAAGCTATTTTTGTGTTGTTGTTGCTGGTTTATGGATCGGTTTGTGAAGAAAAGGGAGAAGAGAGGGGGAAAGGGAAATGCAGGAGAGGGGGTAACTCTTTTCTCTGACAAAAATGGAGTGAAAAAAGGAATTATGATCAGTAAGGATATGGTTATCTTACATAACGGTCTCTATACTGTTTGAATTGAGCTTGGGAGGCAATGATAAGGATGAGATGCAACCAATTCATAGTGAGAAGAGAGCTATGAACTGTGATCATGTCTTATTTCAAGTTAGAAGGTAGTTTCAGTATAAGGATTATTTAATTTGACAAGTTGTTTCGTCCATGATTCTTGGTAGTTTCAGTGCCATTCTAGCCATTGTTTAGTCTGTAATTTTTTAGAATTGATGTGCGAGTAATGACTTGCACTTAGCTTCAACTATTATGTGTGTATTTATTGGCATGTGATAGAATTCTTTTCGTTTTCTTTGAATTCAGTTTCATACTCTAATTGTATCATTTGTACATAGGCAAATCATGCTCGAGATGACAACTCGCTGATATGGCTGGTGCACGGAACGAAGCCATCATTAGAATTCAGACCGACAATGGGGAGGGATGCCCAAGACTAATTCAATGATGATTGATGATGGTATAATAAAAACTGCAGTCTGCATCAGCACCAATTTCTAGGCCTAAGTAAAGTTATTCAACCAAGAACTCTGCTTAGCGCTAAAAATTTCTCTCACCCAACCTTGATCCTGTTTGACCCACTTCTGAAGAGTCAAGATATATGAGTATATGACTAATCCTCTCCGTTCGTATTTTCTTATTGACTCTTTCTGACCCTTTAGGTTTGGGCGGGTCGGGAAGAATCGGATTAGTGGGTCGGTCCTAATCAAGTGGAATCCCAATCCCTTCACTCTCACTTGCTTTCTCTCCTATTCCACAAGTGGGTAACATACAGTAATCCGGCCAACGAGCCGGGTAATAGGCTAGTATACATATATAGATCAAGAGGGATGGCGGATCCCAAAATTTTAATCCACTTTAAAATTTTCTAATTTTGACGCTTGGATATATTATATTTTCCTTATCTCTGTTATACTCATCAAGTACAAAATATTCCTAGTGACTTAGTGTTATACTTATCAATTAGATTACCTCGTACGGTAGGAGTAGCCGAGTAGGTCAACCATTGCCATAGATACATCTGAATGAAATTTTGAAACTGATTAATTAGTATGTGAAATTACAATTAGGAATAAAATGTTTAAAAATAATAAAATATGTTTGCATGAATTAGGGTTGGAAATTGGTACGGTATCGGTATTCCTATACCAAATAAAAAAATCTCAAATTACGAACTATACACTAAAATTAATCATAATCACAATCCCTTATTGATTTTAGTATCCCAATTCCTAAATATTTCGATATCCCAATCGGTATTACCGAATACAAAATTAATTATCTTTACAATTAATAATTAAATATATAAATTAGATTTGGTTGTCTAATTTAGGGCAAAGAGACTAGGCAATTCCTAAAGGGTCATAAGTTTTCCTAGACCTAAGACATGGATAAGGTGAAGAGAGGAGAGGTGACATTTCAATTTCTTGTCAATGGTAATCTTTAATTTGACGGATTAGATGCTAAGAGATGATTAATACTAGTGTTTGCTTTTTGGTGTGTTATGTAAATAACTAGAGATTAGGTGAGAGACAAGAGTGACATAAACTGAAATGTTGAAATTGGGTTGGATGAGGGCTTGTGATTTGTGAAAAAGTAAGGAATGATCAAAGATTGTGTGCTACTTTGCATTAATTTTCAATTTTCGTTGTTTCTCAGTATTTCAGTAAATACTGATCCCAATCCCGAATACCGAAAAACATTTCAAAATGGATCACAATATCAATCACTAAAAATAATCAACATTCGATAATACCAATAGTGATAAATTCGATACAATATTCAGTATATTTCAAATATCGGTATCAAACTTACAGCCTTAACACGAATACTTTCAAAACATAATAGGAAACTTCACACGGCCAATTTCACACCTTTAGAATGTGACTTCTTCGGTATCCAAAGAAAACCGCTTGTTGGATAACTGCTAGAAAGAACCGCTCCCCCTTCTTCGGTTGAAAACCGCCTCTTGGATAACTCCCAAAAAGAAACCGCCTAGGTGCCTCTCTTGGAACCGTCGTGGGTTTTGGAGTGTAGCTTGCCTCGCCTAGTTTTGTTATGAATCTCATTCCATGCTAGTCTTTTGACGAGCATGTGGTGTCTCGGAAAGGGGGTCATGGTTCTCTTGTCTCACGTGGTCCTTCTCGTGAGGCGACATGGCCTTCTCAGACTTAGAATATTTTTGTATATACCAGGAGAATTTAGACGCCATGTGCTTCTATATTCTAGATGGACATGGCCCTCCTCGTTGAAGTGGCATGTCCTTTTCCAGACTTAGAATATTTTTGTGTCGTTTGGTTTTGGATATGAGGTGGCATGGCCTCTTCATTCATGGCCATGGACTTCTCATACTTAGAAATTTTCATGCCATCTCGTGGCATGGCCTCCTACGAGAGGCGCATATCCCTTATTGAATCATGTTCACGCTCATTAATGAGCTAGTGACTTGGGCTTAAAATCAATATCCATAAGACCCAATTTAAACAACATTAATTGATATTATTAATGTGACCTTATAAACTCATTGATTATCTTGTAACTCACTGATGACTCGATATTTGCACATGTTTTCCCCTTTGTTTCTTGATCGTTTAAGCTTGCATTATTGCTTCTTCGTCCTATTTTACGTTAGGTTGTGTTCTTTTGTCACATTTCAGGTCCTAGCACATAAAGTGAAGCGTAGGCGCAAGTTTCAAGTCAATCGGAGATCAATTGGCGACTCGGGGGAAGAAACTCGGGTATGAATTGAAGAAGAAGGGATTTCTACCTCAGTTCGTGACCATATAATCATGTAATCTTGTCATGAGAAGAAAGAGGACGAGACTACGAGCGTATGGGATCAAACGGCACCTGATTTGGAGTCCGAACGAGGGAGAAACGAAGAATCAAAGATAGGGGAAAATTGGTTTCGGGCTTCTCTGAGAAACAGAAGGGGGCCCTATCGTGAACCAAAAATCCCCGGTCGTGAACCAAAATCCCCGGTCGTGACCCAAAAATCCCCAGTCGTGAACCAAAAAATTCCCGGTCGTGACCTAAAATACCCGACCGGGTATTTTGACCGGGGATCGCGAATGCAGGCTGTTAAAAGCCTGTTTTGTGCGTTTTTGCAAGGGAGAGCGGGGTTTTGGATCCCAAACACCCTAGGGACGAACCAGAGAGAGAGAGAGAGAGAGAGAGAGAGAGAGCGATTTGAGGGCATTCTAAGAGTGGAATTGGAGGATTTCTTCGCCTTGAAAGCTCGAGGAACAAGCCCGGAGTTGAAGACTGATCATCTGAAGATTCTTACTGCAGTCTCTCTCTTCTCTATGGAGTAACTTCCCTTCACTTAGGTTTTGAGGAACCCTAGCTATGATTGTTTGATTGGATGATTGTATGAGTACTCTTACTTGATAATCTTGAGTTCATATTCAATCTATGCATGTTTTCACGATTCAATTCTGCTTGAGTCGAGATTATTGATTCTGCTTTGATCCTATGAGAGCGAATACCTGATTAGGTCAATAGAGCACCATAGATTGATAGTAGTGGATCGATTGCTTTAGTCGAGGGTTGATTCACTGTTTTGTATCGATTGAGAAGCTCTTTCGATAGAGGGAGTCTAGTTCAGAACGCCTTGATCGGTTGTGCTAGAGAAGGATACGTCCCTTTAGGCAATCGACTCAAGAGGGCCTTGTTCCTTTAGTCGAGACTCAAGGTCTAGTCAAGGATTCTCCGCATTGTGGATGAAAGTGAAACAAGTTAGAGATCATCAATCGTTAATCTGGCTAGTGGCTAGGGAGAATCATACCTAAGTGAGTTCCCAACCTGTAATTAGATTAACTTTAACTGTAGTTTGCTAGAGTAGTTTTAGTTCTTTCATCTTAATCTGGTTTGCTAGATAATGAACTGAAGCTGAGTAATAGTAACTCTAGAGACCCGTAGATTCGATATTTATTACTTGAGCCACTATACTGCAGTCCCTTTCATTGGTTACACTTGGCATTGTTAGAAGTTGTGTCATAGCGAGTCACTCACCAATGTGGTACAAGACAAATTTTATGGTGTAGGCAATTACCAACAGGTGATAATTAATCAACCAAAAGTAACTCTAAATCTAATCCCAGTTAGGTAAGCAACAACAACTCGCCTTTACCTTACTAGTTCCTCTAGAATCTCAAACCTTTCGACGATAGCTATAACAAGCTCATCGTTGACCATTCATAAGCAACAAAATACTGGTATTCTTTCAATACTCTGTAAAACTCCCTGTAGCATCATCCCTGCTGCTCAAAACAAAAACAAAAGAGGATCTGTGGAGGATGAACAATACAAAACTGTATGATTAAAATTGCTATTTCACCAAGAAACATCTAATTCCGTCAAAACTGAAAACCCCTCATTTGTTCGAGTTCAAACCCTAAAAAGTAAAAACACCTCGAATTCAATATTACGAAACTGAAATACATTGTACATCTTCAACTGGTTTGAGGCTGGCTTCAGATTTCATGGTTCGGTACTGAACCAGCTCCCTCAATTCAAGTAACATCTTTCCATATCTAGAGTAACCTTCATCGAAGCTAGATCCAGCTTTTTTTCTCCCTTGAACGGATGAAGCTTCTAGAGAAGAATCTCTGGGATCTGGTGATGGGATTACCGGTGGAATCGATTGTTGATCCGTCGTTGATAGATGGAAGAAACTAGGCTAAATCTAAGACAGAGAACAACAAACAGAATTTTCCGTACATAGAGAGAGAACGAGATAATGAGCTTTGCCAACCTGCTCCTGAAGATAAATGGTTTTCCCTATTGCGCTTATGGCACCGCCAAAAGCTTTGAGAAAAGAAAAGAGGCGGCCTAGAATTATTGAGGCAAATGTTGGAGCCAATTCTACAAAAGAATCGAAAATTCTGGAGCAAAGGCCAACATTTTGGAGACAAGAGAACCAAATAAATTAACTAACTAGAGTCCTCCCCAAAATTTCCTTCCGGATCTCTTTACTTCAGGCGCTCCAATAAATTGCCCGGAAGAATCCAAAAGCTTCGTTCTGATCAATCTCCGCTGTCTCTCGGTATTGATTACTCATGCCCCCTTCATGGTCCACGTAATCAAAATCATGATTACCATCGCCAATCGACCCAAGACTCCGTTGCGAGACCTACTTCGGACATCCTTGTCCCGTTCACGTATACCAAATTCCAATGCCTTCCTTTTAGTACTTCCGTTAGTTCCTGTTTCATGGAATCTTAAAAAAACACAAAACAATATAATAGGAAGGGTTAATACCACTGGAAATACCATTCTTTAGCGAAAGTGTCATTTATATTACGTACTTTCAATAAACACAAAAATATTCCAACGTATTAGGGGTTTGTGTCATTTGTGTTACGCACATTTTTATTGACCGTTAGAATTGACGGTTGACCTGACGGTGGTCAACTTATGTTTGACTATTGCTTATGTGGCGCTTAGGTGTCACCCGCATATGTGCCACGTAAGAAATTACTATTTTAAAAATATTAATTTTATTTCAAAAATAAATAAATTAATATTATTAATTTATTTTAAAATACTTTTTTTTTCTAAATACTCTTTCTCTCGCCTCCCGGTCGTCATGCCCATCTGCTTCTTCCGTCGATCACCAACGCCGCTCTGACGACGGAGGCAGGGAGCTCGTCTTCTTCCTTCTCGATTAGCGGTCGTTTCTGATCTTCCACTTGCACAGGCAAGTCGGGATATGGGCGACGCGAGAGAGCTCGTCTAAATCCCTCTTCTCCTCCACTTATATCTCCTTCTCCATCTCACCACCCAATCGCAATCAAACCGCCATCGTAATCTCCGCTTGCAAGATCCGAAGCGGGATGTCATTAAGATAAAAGATAGGGATTTGCACTTTGCAGCGGCTGAAAGGGGAATGGACGCAGGAGATTTGCGAGGTGGTAGGGGGAATGGACGCTAACCAATTGCAGTTCTGTCTGGGTTGTGGAATCGGAGATTTGCGAGCCTACACCAGCTAGAAATCCCCATTTTCATTCCACGATCTCATCAATCGATTCCCTCACTTTTCCCTCCAATTCTTGAAGCGTCGCGGGCCTTCCAACGGCTGACCAGCTAGAAATTCTCATAGGGATTGATTTCCATACAAACCCAATCCTAATTAACCAAACCCCTTAGATGATGAAAGATTCTAGGTCTTGATTCCCTTATCAATAAGCCCTCCCTGGGAAGAGATGGGAAGCTTCTGGTCGCTGCCTCTATCTCAAGCGGAAGGAAGAGCTTGACCATTCTTATTCCGTTGACGGCGGCGACTTTGACCAGATTGAGGAGGAGGGCATAGCGCGGAGGCAGGCTGAGCGAGGAGAGAAGGGGGAAATATGACTAGTCTTGAGTACGACGGCGATGATGGCTTAATCGAAGAGAAAGCTGTTGTAGCCACAAGCAGAAAGCAGAGGGACGGAGCAGAGTGGCGAGGAGAGATGGAGCAGAGGAGGCGATGGGTGGCGCCGGGAAGAGGAATCATCCAGATTCTTTTTTATTAAATAATATTTTTAATAAATTTTCCATCTCAGCTGCCCCTTTATGTGCTGACTGTGTTTTCTGTTAATTTCTAACAGAAAATTTAACGGAAGAGATGATTTGGTATACAAATGACATATCGAAAACTATGTAATATAAGTGGCACTTTCGCTAAAGGTTGGTATTTCCAGTGGTATTAGCCCTAATAGGAACGATTAATTGTACATGAGCAATTAATTTGCCCGAGACGGAATCGACGACACAAAATTACTCCCTCATCTCTTTTCTAATCGCCAACGTCTTATCACCCTCTGTGTACATCTCGATTATGAGCTCCAGGATCGAGATTTGCAAAACGGATTACGAGCACATGTCCAGGCCGCGACCAGATTTGTAAAGCCAGATAGGATAATCTGTTTAATCGATTTGACAGTAACAGAGCGTCTTAAAATTGTTAGAAACCGAACAGAAAAATTAGGGTTACCAGATCTGGCTGAGTCGCGGACTAGGTCGCTCTCTTTAAGACGTTTGCGGCACTACCTCATAATTCGCACAGCAGACTATCAGCCGGTCGCCTCCAGGATAAAACAATCACTCTAATTTTGTTGCTCATCGGTTTTGTGCGAAAACCCAGAATATTCCTTCTATCTTTGGAAATAAGTCACATTTTAATTAGAAAGATAATTACTCCCATAATTAAATTATATTATATTAATATAATTAATCATAATTATCTCCATAATATTCTTTTTAAATATTCTTTCTATTAATTCAATATAGCTATTCATTCCCAACAGAACCACCGTACTCTGACGACCTCAATTTCTCGTTGCTCCACTGCCTAGGCTCCTTACGGCGCGGAACCTCTGGCGGGTGGCGTCCATCGAGCTACCCTCCAGTCACCGTCTGCAGGCCCTTTCCGGTGTCAGATCCGATGAGGTCAATTCAACAATCCGCCGGCTAACAACGTTAAATGGGGAGAAAAGGCAGCAACCCCGATCTGGTGAATATATATGACGACTCTACTTTTCGAGCTGGTGCTGAATTCGGCGATGAGGACAATGGTAGGCAAGCGATATTACGGCGACGAGAGCGTGGTGGATTTTGAGGAAGCACGGCGGTTTCAGGAGTTGACGGTGGAGACTATGCTGATTTCGTGCAGGTTTTGAGATGGGTCGATGGAATTGGGAAGAAAGGGGAGAAGGTAGTGGAGTTTCAAGGGGAAGAGAGATGGGTTTATTTAGATGTTGATTGAGAATTGAAGGAATGGAGATGCGGTGGATGTTCAGGGATGCCGGGAGGGAAGAAAACAATGGTTCAATCTTTTGTTTACTCTGCAGGAAAAAGAATCGAAATTCTACACCGACGACGTCATCAAAAGCCTTATTCCGGGTATATAATTATAGCTTTGGCTAAGCTAGGAGTTAGTATATTTGGCAGAACCACACTCCTCTCCGTCGGCGCGGGACAGGAAGAAGGCGAGGGAGCTTGCTTGACATTTTCGATAGAGAAAGTGAATCTCTTGGAGAAAGAAGCGGCGGACGGTCGGGTCGGAACAGTTCTCCACGGACAAAGAAGCGAAAAATCGAAATGGACCAAAATTGGAAATGATGTGGAAAATATAAAAATTAAATTTTATTTATTTTGTTATTTTTTAATTGTCATGTCATGTATTTAACGGTCAACTATAAAAGTTGACTGCCACATAAACAAAAGTGAACGGAATTCGACGGAGAGTGACCCAACTTGGCATACTTAACTAATTTTAGTGACTAGGAATAGAATTAAATATTTTGAGTTAGCAAACATGAACGTTTTTTTGTAATTCCAATGACCAACCTTGCAATTTACCCTATTTTTTTATTGACAAATGGGCAATTGCTTTTCTAAAGCCGAACAAGACTTTTAATCAACAACTCATCAAATATGATAATTAACCAAAATCACTCATACCAATTCCAAATCTTAGTGACTCGTACAAATGAATTTTATTATGGTTAATATAACTTAAATTGCTTATTAATTTTTTTATCCAACGCAAGCCCATAGGGCATTAGACAAAGACTTGACATGACTACAAGACCGATTTAAAACCAGCGCATTAGTTTGTATGCAACCAGACTACGATGAAAGAGCATGTTAAACCACTACTTGAGCAGCTCTGAAGATGCTCCGAAGAGCAAAGACACGACATGAATGGGAAAAAAAAAACTCAACATCTCCGAAGATAGTCCTAGAGTGAATGTAGTTTCCTTCGACAGAGTATTCTGATTCGGGCCTAATTGTACACTTTTTACCCCCTATTATCTTTGACGTTTGTTGCAATTGAACTCCAAAAAGGTTGGTTTTACACGAGGTTGCTTGTGTTCTAGCGTGTTTCAGATCCTAACAGGTAAAACCAAACTCGGAGTAGAAAATTGGAAGAAAAGGAGCAAAGACCGGGCAAAGAGGTAGAGACAGCCGCAGTTCACGGTCTTACTGGACCGTGAACTGGAGTCATGACCCGTGAAGCGAGGAGCAAACATAGGGGGTTTATAGGTTACTGACGCCCAGGCAGTTCATGGTCGCTAAGACCGTCCACAGGGGCCAATGACCGTGAACCCCAGCAAGAGAAGCGGTGCATTTTGGTCGCAGCGCTGAGTTCACAAACGCGTTTCAATGTTCACGGCCGTGAACTCAGGCCGTAAACTCAGCGCGATCTCCCACTTAAAAGGAAAGCTGAAGGGAAGAAGAAGGAGGAGACCTAGAGTGAGAAAACTTCTCCTTCTTCAGATTTTAGAGTGATAAAGTGACGAACCAAAGAAGAGGAAAAGCAAGGGTTTGATCTGCAAGCAAGGATTTGGGTTTTCTTCAGCACAAGAAGCAAAACTTGCATCTTCATGATGGTTTTCCTTTCCCTCTTTTGTATTTTCCCTTCTCCTAGCATGGAGTAGTCCCTTATTTCACTTGGGTGTTTGTAAACCCTAGCTACAATTATGTGAATGCTTGTATGAATTGAATGATTTATGTGTGGTTGTGTTTTAATGTGAATGTGGAGGTATTATTCAGAAATGATTATATTGTGTGAAAGTCTATCAATCTAATTGCCAATTTAACCTAGATTAGAGAGGAAGCCTCCTTAGGTTAAGAGGCTCATTATTAAGATGGGGTTCTTGGGCATTTCATGCCTCCTAAGCTAGTTTAGAGAGGAAACCTCCTTCACCCAAGAGGTTTGGTTTCCTTGGGCATTCAAAGCCTCCTAAACTAGTTTAGAGAGAACCCTCCTTAACCTTAGAGGCTCATTTCGAGATGGGTTTCCTTGGGCATTCAATGCCTCCTAAGCTAGGTTAGAGGGAACCCTCCTTAATTTAAGAGGCTCTATTAGAGATGGGTTTCCTTGGGCATTCTATGCCTCCTATTCTAGGTTAGTTAAAGGGCAAACCTCCTAATTCGTATTAAACACTTGGGGTTTGGTTATGGGTGGCCATCCGAACTCCAATTCGAGGGTGAAGTCTAACCATTCCTTAGTCGATAGGTTGAGAGGGTCATATCAGTGGCTTGGATCGTATCCCATTCCTCAACCTAGAGTCTAAGAGGGTAACTTTGGTTTCTTTTAGACTTCCCTGTGGTTTATGACCCCCTAACCACACATGGTAGTTCGATTCTTCAAGTCATAATTGTTATTAGGGGGAGCAACACCTGGGTGAAGATTTCTCAACTAGAGTCAAATCCATTTTACCTTTGCAAAGTAATTTAGTTCTCAACCTTCTTTTTCACCAAAACTGATATGCTAGATAATGTTTCAAACAGTCGAAGTAGCGGTACCTGGACCGGCCCGGGTCGATATTTAAACATACGTTCCCTATATTGAACCCATATAAAGTTTATACTTGGACCTTAGGTGGGATTTTATTGTGATAGTTAAAGCGAGTCAAGTTTTTGGCGCCATTGTCGGGGATCAACGGTCCATTATCGTAAAAAGTTTGTTTGGTGTTAATCTACCCTTTAATTTCTGTTTGGTTGAGTTGTGAAGTGTTTGCCTGTGCTAGACGTGTTGTGTTCTTAAGTATGTGCAGGGAGGTGCATGACCCAGAGCAATCCGGCGCATTTAACACCACTGGACGAGGAAATCAACCGAACCCTCCAACTTCTAGCTTGAGAGAGGGAGCAAGCAGAGGCAAGATGGAGAAGTGAAGAAAGGGGACAACAAGTTTGTCCCGAAATTGAAGTTGAGATGGCAGCAAATTAACACTGAGGGACTTATCCGCTTCCAAACCCAAATGGAGAAGCGGGAGCTGAGGAAGAGCCAAGTAGTATGGGCTATTACATGGCTCCACCTCCACGGGCGGCGGATATCCAATCTCACATCTTACATCCACCTGTGGCCGCCAACAACTTTGAGATCAAGCCCTCTCCCGTGAGATGATTCAACCAAAATGCTTACTTCCACGGGCTAGCCCATGAATCACCACGAGAGCATGTCCAAAGGTTCCTTGAGCTAGCGGGAAGCTTGAAGATAAATGGCGTCCCCGAGGAGGCATTCCTATTGAAGCTCTTCCCCTATTCTTTGGCAGGGAAGGCACTTTGATGTCTCAACAACCGTCCGGCTCTATCCATCATCTCTTGGGATGATCTACTCAACAAGTTCATTACCTGATATTGTCCTCCTTCCAAGACGGCCAAGTGGAGGAAGAAGATCACTCACTTTGAGCAAGAGGAGGATGAGACATTGAGGGATGCATGGGAAAGGTTCTCCGACTACTTTCTTCAATTCGCTCATCATGGATTCGAGGAGCAATTTTGGATAGAAACTTTCTATGGAGGACTCATTCAAGATGACAAGATCCTCATTGACTCTCTTTGCCAAGGGAGGTTGATGAACATGACCCCTCCTCAAGTCACTGAATTGCTTGAAGATATGTCTCTTAAGGGATATGATTGGGGCTTGACAAGAAGTGGGAAGAGAAGTAACGATCGAGGAGTGCGAAGTGTGGGAGCAAGTGCTCCACTTGAAGCGAAGCTTGATAAGTTGATCGAGGTGATCCTTGAGGATAAGAAGCAAGGGAAGAGAGAGGTGATGTCTTGTGATTGGTGTTCGAGCACCAATCACAAAATTGTGGATTTCCAAGTGAAGAAGGAGTCAAGTACCCCCGAGGAGCAAGTGAGTTTCATTGCCAATGCTAGAGGGAACAACCCTTATAGCAACACATACAACCCCGGGTGGCGCAATTATCCAAACTTCGCTTGGTCTTCCCCTACCAATCCAAGACCTCCTGGTTTCCAAGGTCCAACGGGAAACTACCAACCTCGACCAACATTAATCCAACAAAGGCCTCAATTCCAAAACTCGAACTTCCAACAACCATATCAAGCACAAGGCGGTCAAGGTTTTCAACAACAACAACAACAAGGCGACAAGTTCTTTAAACTCGAAGTCCTTGTTAACACCTTGTGAATACAAGCTCTCAGAAGTTCGAGAATATTGAGCAATTCATGGATGTGGAAACATCCAAGTTTACCTCGGTTGAGGCGGGACTCCGAAGCCATCAAGCGAGTCTCCAAAACTTGGAAGTGGAAATTAGCAATCTTGTCGGGATCTTCACCGAGATACCAAAGGGAGCCCTACTCTCTCAAACCATTGCCAACCCCAAAGATCAAGTCGGGTGCAATGCAATTTTCTTGAGGAGCAGGAAGGTGACCCCGACGGTCGTTGCCAAAGAAGTGAATGAGAAGGAAGACCCTCTACCTAAGGGTGAAGAAGAGGAAACCTTAGGGGAAAAGAGAGGAGTGGCAATGAAGGCATTGTCGACGCCACCACCTGTGGTTGAGTACACGCCACCCCTACCTTTTTCCCACGAGAGTGCACAATGAAAGATTGGAAGCGGAATGTGGGGGTTTCATGGAGATGCTCCGAAAGCTCCAACTCAACATTCCCTTCCTCGAAGCTATCGCCCACATGCCAAGGTATTCAAGATACATCAAGGGGTATCTCTCCAAGAAGCCTAAGTTCGAAGACCTCGCCAGTGTCACCCTAGGCGAGGAGTGCTCAGCCTTCATCCTCAACACGTTGCCCAAGAAGCAACCCGATCCAGGTAGTTTCACTATACCTCTTTGCACTCGGTTCTCATCACATAGAAAATTTCTTGGCTGACTTAGGGGTGAGCATAAATGTGATGCCATATAAGATTTTTAAGAGGCTAGACACAGGTGAATTAAAGACTACCCGGTAAACGGTATGCTGAGCATGGATGCAGTGAAATCGAATACCGTTACCGGTTTGTAACTGGTTTACCGAATCACCGGTAAACGGTTACAAACTGGTTTTAACGATTTACCGTAAAGAGGGGTTGCAGATGGTTGTCATTTTGGTTTACTAGAAAATTACCGAACCGAAATTCTAGGCAGTGGGGGGCAGGTTGTTAAATTTGATTTTTCTGCGTTTTTTTCTTCATTTTTGTAATTAATAATTTATTATTAAATCTTATTTATAATATTTTAGAGTCCTATAATTACTTCCATTCATGTAATTAATATTTGTGAATAATGGAATATATGTTATATGTTAATGCCTTAATATTTGTCAAACTCAAAGTTGCTATCTATTAATCTATTTAATTTAACATAAGTTCAAAGGGTCAACAATCATGAATCAACATCAACTCATCAAGCATCATCATTCATCAAATATTCAAATTCATCAAACGACAATTCGAGAAACATCATCAAATTCAAAGGGACAACAAGTCAACAATCAACATAAATACATAATCGTCAATCGACTAAAGTGCCCAATGATAATGTCTAAATTCAACACAAGTTCAAAGTCCAAACTTAAAAATTAAAATAGACAACCAAATAACCAATTGCTCATGCTCCTCCTTCTCCGGTAGAACTTGTACCACCACCAACATTTGCACAACCTTGCTGCTTCAAAGTCCTAAGAAGAGTATCATCGGGATCATCATCGCCATCTTGGTTCATGTCTTCGTCGGTGGAATCTTCATCATCATCATCAACCCTAACAGGTAAGCTATGTGCTCCACTTGGGATGTCACTTGCAGTTTCCACTCGAGATTGGAAAGTATTAGTAACTAGTGCAAATAAAATACACAAATGTTAGTATGTTACTAATGAAATGGTTTAAAATTTAAATAGTAAAGAGTATAGACAAATTAGAATAATAAATTGAATTCTTACCACTTTCATAGTCGATTGTCTCTTGATCTTCTTCCTTATCATTCAGTTCATCTATAGTCTTTCCACTTTTTCATATCTAATCTAATCTTCAGCACAAATCAAGGCCTCTACAATGTTTGGGCTCAAAGAAGACCTGAAAGGACAAAGAACTCGACCTCCACAATTGAAAGCAGACTCCGAGGCAACAGAGGAGACTGGAACTGCTAATATATCCCTAACCATCTCTAAAAAAATGAGATACCTAACACTGTTCCGAGCCCACCACTTCAGAATGTCAAATTTTTTATCATCAATCACCAACATCTCTCAAATAGGACTCCAACTCACAAGAACCTCGACCCCCCCACCCCTCTCAATTTGATCCTTTCTCTTCTGCTGAAATCGAGCTTCAAATGCTCCTCCATAGCAACAACAGATATGTCACTAGTCTCAATAGTCTGGGTAGTAGGCACAGAATCAGTGGGTGGAGTTGCATACTTCATCTTGTAGACCTCGTACAATGCAATCATCTCCTTCTTTACTTCATCGGCCAAATCTCCCCTTTTGACATCTCATGCATTTCTTCCAACATCATAGTCAAATAGTCTAGCTTACGCCTGGGATCTAGCACACAGGCCATGTAAACTATCCTATTTATCCTAAGGTTATCCTCCTCCTCGTCATCATTCTTAAACCAATACTTTCTCACCTTTGCCTCTATTCTTTCTGTCATTCTTTGTATATGTCCATCTGCATCTTTCTTCAATGTTGCTATCACTTCATGAATATCCACAATGGCTTTGCAGAAAGTATGTGCAGTGACATATTAACTTTCTGATACAAAGTAAAAATTACAAATCATTAGTATAAATAATATAACTCATAATCATTCAATTTAATTTTAAAATTTGATAGTTCATATACCTGATACACGAAGAGTAAGTTCATAAAAGAACTTCAGCATGAGTCGCCTAATACTGCTCCAATCATCTTCAGTTGGTAGACCCTTCTTGAGTCCACATAGTCTCGAAAGGAAGAATAAATAGGAATAGCATGCATGAACTTAAAAACCGGCTGAAACCTCTTTGCAGAATCCAACATCAGATAGGTGGAATTCCACTTAGTCGGAACATCCAAAGACAACAATCTTTTCCCATCCATCTCTAGATAGTTGATGCCTTTCTTGAACTTTGCACTCCCCGTTGGGGATGACTTCACCCATTTCACACAATCCTTTACCCTCTCCATAGCAACTCCAACCTCCTTCAATCCATCAGAAACAACTAGATTGGTGATATGTGCCACACATCTATACTGCAAATACTTCCCATCTAGCAAATCTGATCCCCACCCTGTCATTTTTGTTCTTATGCACTCAACAAGAACATAATTGGAACTGACATTATCCACTATCATGCAAAATAAACTCTTCACTTTCCATTCTTGTAGACACTTCTCCAAAGTATCTGCAATATCCTTCCCCGTGTGATTAGTAATGGGAACAAAGCAAATAATCCTCTTCTGCAACTTCCAATCATCTCCAATAAATTATGCAGTCACACACATAAAATTTTGGTTGTTATCACTAGTCCATGTATCTGTAGTGATAGATATTCTTTCTTTGCACTTTGAGTTAAAAAAAACTCAATCAATATCTCTTTCTTCTCCATAAAAATGACATAACAATCAGATCTTATTGTTTGCCTTCCAGAAATCACAAACAAAGGCTGAGTTGTTGCCATAAATCTCCTAAACCCCTCCCGCTCAACAAATCTAAACGGAAGCTCATCCAGGATTATCATCATAGCTAATGCATGTCTAGATTTGTTCTGATCAAACTTCCATGGAGTAAGAGAGCCTACCTCACCATCTCCACTTCCAGGTTGATAGTTCAATACCGACTGACCACTAGCTTCCTTCGACCTCCTCTCGCACATTAGGTGATGGCTTTTCAAACCACTAGTCTCATTGAAGGTTGAATGAGCTTTGATCAGCGTCCCACACCGTACGCATTTGTCGTATGGGTAGTCATCCACTATCTCACGAGTGTAAGGGATCCACCACTTAGAAGTTGGCTTCCTCCCCTTCCCCTTGTCAATTTTCTTTTGCACACCGGGTACCTCAGCTGATACACGAGTAGTAGAGGCCAGATTTGCTGCAGATGGAGGAGGATTTGCCTCAGGAGGTGGATTTGCTGCAACTGCAGGTGGAGGAGGTGGATTTGTAGTAGTGAAAGGTGTACTAGTTGAAGCCTTACCTTTTTTTGAAGAACTTTGACCTCTTTTTTTTTTTTTTTGAAAAGCTTCGAGGTAGAGAACTAGCTTTCTTCTTACTACCTCCTCCATGGCTGCCAGAAGGTTTCGTCCTAAAAAAAAATGAAAACATAAATTTCCTAAACAACCATTCAGCACAACCTCAATTCAATCAATTCACTGACAATTTCTCATCAATTACTCAATAGTCAATTCAATTCAATCAACCTCAATTCAATTACTCAATCAACCTAAATTTCCATCTCAATACTCAATAGTCAATTCAATTAACATACATATTATTATTTCCAATTTCTATTGTTGTTGGCCTGTTGCTACCTCGGCAGCCTGCTATCCACTAATTGCCGAATTGGACTTTGGAGTTTGCTCTCCAAAATCGAATCATCTGCCCCTAGCCTCCTGCTCAACAAAACAACAAACTGAATTTGGTCAGTTACGGTCTCACGGAGGGTGGGGAGGAGCAAGGGGAGCTGGGAAGGGAAGGGACCATTCCTTATTTCCTTACCTTTTCGAATCCAAGGAGCAAGGGAAGGGAGAGGCTGAAGAGTGAAGAGGGACATGAGGAGGTGGCGGGGAAGGTGGAAGAGGAGGACTGGGAGCAGGAGAAGGCGAGAGTCGCCATCGGCGAGGGAAGGAGGAAGGCAAAACTCGGAAGGGAGAGTTGCGGCGTCGAAGTCGCAGAGCAGGGGAAGCGTGCAACGGACAGGGGAAGCGCGTGACGGAAGGGAGAGTAGCCGTCACTCATCACCGTCACTCGTCTAGGCAGGGTTCGATTGTGGGGGGTTGTGTGTGCTTCATCGTCAGTCGATACAGGAAGCGGAGAGGAGAAGACGAAAGTGGAAACGAAGGGAAGGGTCGAAGAGATTTGTTTTTAAGGTTTGGAGGGGTGATGGCCAAAACGTAGCGTACTGGTCCCCGGTATCGGTATTACTGACTAAACGTCAGTATTTACCGTAACTGGGGCCGGGAAACCACCCATCCCCATTTCACACTCGCCTACCAATACCGCCGGTAACGGTTTACCGTTTACCGCCGGTATCGGTTTGGTAAAATGGTAAACCGATTACCGGCTTACCGTTTGTCACCCCGATCTCTCTGTCATTAGTCCTAGGGGCATAGTGGAGGACGTGCTAGTACGAGTGGGGAAATTCTGTTATCTAGTGGACTTTGTGATCCTGGATATAAGTGAGGATTCTGAGATGCCACTCATACTAGGACGCCCTTTCCTAGCCACCGCCAAGACATTAATTGATGTAAACGAGAGAACTTTGATTCTGAGATATGGTGAGGAGAGAATTACTCTTGGAATTGATCATAAGCCTAGGAGTGAGGAAGTGAAGGAAGTTGAACCGAGTGATATGAATGCAAGTGGAGGGAAGCCTTACAAGGCGAACCCCACTATTGCTGTTAGTTCTTGTGATGGTGTGAAGCAGGAAAGCAATGAGGGAATCTCGCCCAAGGAAGGAAGGAAAAAAGTAGCTTGGAGGAAAAGGATAAGTCGTGTTAATGCCCGACGGAAGGAAAAGGGCAAGGCAAAAGTGATCGGCCAAGAAGGCCATCAGATGGAGCTTAAGTTGGGAGGCACCATGCGTCGCCCCAAGAACGTTGCGGATCCACTCTCGGTGGCATCATGTTCCAAAACATGATAGATCTGCAACCGTCAAGCTAATGACGATAACTTAGCGCTTGTTGGGAGGCAACCCAACGAAGGTTTGTTTCCTTTCCCTTATTTTCGTTTTTGTGTGTCAAGTGAAGAATTCTAGTGGTCAAGTGGTATCCCCGTGCCACATTTTGTGTTTGTGCATTTTAAGGTTGTGTCATGATCGATAGAAGGCACGGTGGATTAGGTCGAGTCAAGAAAATTTCAGAATTGCCCTGTTTTCACTGATGTTCGCGGACGGATTGCCAAGTTCACGGTCTTGTGTCAAACGCGTCCGTGAACCAGGCACTTCGATGAGTGTAACACTTGTCGACTATCCCCAGTTCACGGACGGATTGCAGAGTTCATGATCTCTAAGACCGTGAACTGGCAAACGCGTCCATGAACTGCGAGCCTCGCCTATAAAAGGGGCTTGAACGTTGACTCTTCACTTCACGGCCCAAAACTCACCGAAAACCCACAAAATTCCGACAGTTTTCGGCCATTTGCCCCATTTTCGGCGAGCAAAACACAAAACCAAGAACAGATCCATTCTCCACTAATCAAAAACGTCCTTCGCCGAGATTTTGGAAGGATTTGGAGCACATTTTTTCCGGCAAAGTCGCCGTCGGCCAGCCTCTGACGAGAGTCCGACGAAGCTCCGACGACCTTTCTCTAGTCTGTTTCCGGCCAACTTTCACCATCCTCGCCCTCACCTCACTTCTTCCTACATCTTACTTGAGTCTCCAGGTTGGTTTTCAGCTCTTTCTTATTAATTTTGGGAGAATCGGATTAGGTAGTGAAGTGAGGAAAATTTAGTGAATTGAATGTTGAACTTAGAATTTGAGCGAGGAATTAGGTGAATTAGGGTGATTGAATGATGTTGCTTAAGCTTATTTGAGCCTCGGTGGGCAGGATTTAATTCAAATTGCTTTTAATTGTGAAACTTGCCCACAAAGTGTTAATTGTTGAATGATGAGAAATGTTTTGATTGAGTGGTTGTTGGTCGCCACCGTGTCATGGTTCGCGTTTTAATTTATGTGTGATACAATTCGTGACCACCAAGAACCATGTCGTAGTGTGCTTAAGCTTAAATGTTTGGATTAGATGGATCCGTACTGAAATTTAAGTGTGTGGGGGGGATTCTTTTTCCTCCCAATGAGCTGAGATTGGCGTTTATTTCCACGTATGGTGCATGTTTGTCGATTTTGTAGGAAATTCAGCATGAACCACTCATACCTTGTGACACTGAGAGGGAACCCTAAAGCGAAAAGGGAGATGCGATTTTTGGCGAGCACTAACTCCCAAGAACACTGGAAACTCGACTTTAATCAATTCGATGGCCTTCACTGTGCAGGCATCATGAGGGAGACGGTGGCGCACCCACAATGGCGCCGACTCCTTGAAATGGAGGATGAAATTTTTGAGTACCTTCACCATCCTCACGAAAAACAGTACGCTCGGCACTCGGAGGCGCAGGGTGAAATTCCACTTGAGTGGGGGATGGCACAAAATGTCTTTTGATAAGTTTGGCCGATCACTGTGAGTTTACAACGAGATAGAGGACGAGTGGGAAGAGGACGCAATCAGAGTTTGCGACCTGAATGCAACATATCACAGGTTTTGCCTCCCAGAGCACTGACGAACACCATTTTGATCGGCACTCACATTGGCGTCCACACTCAAGCCACAGTGGCGCATCATCAACGCACTCCTAGCTCGTTTCCTCTGGCCGAGCTATAACAATCCAAACAAGATTACCGAGAGGATCTTGCTGGCATTTGCTTCCATGGCGGATCTGTTTAGCAACCTTCATCTTGGTTCAGTCTTGGCCACCTCTTTTGCCAGAGCCATAGGGGGAAAACGATGATATATCACATCAATGGGGGCCCATTACTCATCTTGCCCGTCAATTGAATGTTAGTTTAGCGGGTTGCACATATGATGGGCGCTCCACGGGGTTCGAAGAAGCACTTTGCGTTCCATGCGGTTGATGGGATCGTTTGGCCCATTACGATTCATTGAGGGACTACCTCTACTGGCAGAGGTCCCACCTCTAGAGCAGTCACCTGCTTGAGCTCCCAGCCTCCGCCGGCGTCCCGCGCTCCAGTGCCTAGTACTACCACCACCGGCTAGTGATCCCTTCGTCTAGAGGATGGATCGTCTCGAGACCCATGTCGTGGGAGTGACTTCCCGACTCGACCGGCAGACCGACCTACTCGAGCAGATGGCTCGTCGCTAGGGTCTCATTCAAGATGATGAGTCGAGGCCTTCGACCCAGTGAGAGGTAGTCGACGAGGGAGATACGTGGCAAAGCCGATTCCTTTCGCCCCACTACTCCAATTGGAACTCTGAACTCTTTTATTTTATTTTTCTTTCTTTTATTTTCTGTGTGTGATCATAAACTACTACTATCGTATTGTGATGTGTAATAACCTCGCCTCGAGCGAGTCGTATTGTGTTTGTTTATGTGTGTTTTTTGTCTTCTCCTTAAAGCTTAAATCTCCTACCCCGGGAAAATTCCAACTTTCACTCACCAAGCAAAGCGGTAACACTCATTCTATCCCCTATCTTACACCATTGAGGGCAATGTCTAACATAAGTGTGTGTGTGTGTGGGGGGGGGGGGGGGGTAGTTTATTCTTATGCTTGTGTAAGTGTGATTGATGCTTGGAGCCTTGATGTATGCCCAAATTTGAAAATTTTGAGGGCTCCAAGCAATGTTTGCATGATCAAAGTGGTCGGATTTTAGGAGAATTATTTTTATTGGCATTGACCTTGAATTGTTGCATGTGATCGAGTGTGTCCTATGATGATGACTGAGAGGTGCATTAGGATAGTGCAAAAGTTTAGTTCTCATGTGTGCAAAAATGAATGGATGTCTTGACTCGATTACTTGTTGATTGCAATTGTCATGCATTGTGTTTTGTGAAAATGGAATGGATGATTAGGTGACTAGGTAGTCATGTGAGTTTTGAGCCGATAGTTTTATTCTTTTGTGCTTAGATCCCTCTTACCATGGCGAGTAACATTACAGTTTCCATTAGTGAGTATGATGGAGGCATAGGATTAGTCCACGCCCAAATGTTGATTATCCCGAAATGTTTTATCCCCTAGTCAACCCCTTTGAGCCTTGTGACTTTGGGGGGTCGTTCTCATGTTAGGAGATTTTTGCTTGTGAGCTTAATGGTGCTTTATAGAACGACCCCTCATCCTTTATTCGTGTCTATACATGAGTCGTCCTTGTGTCCCGGAGCTCTCGCTTTTGAGTTCCATTGAGGTTCTACATAGGAGGATTGTGTGTGGTTCTTGCTAGGAATGAAAGAGAAAAGAGTAGTGTTGGAGCGAGATCTTAAAAAAGGGCATTGGTTGTTAAAAAGTAGTGTGGCAAGTGTTTAACTCTCTAGTACCGCCCTCAAAAAGAAAAGAAAAAGAAAGACATGGAAAGTAGAAAGAGAAACGAAACAGAGGTAATAAATCGGGATCAATAAAGTAGAGAGTGCCACAAAATATTAGAAGAGTATGCTCTAAGTAGGCTTTCTTGGCATGCAAGCCGTCGAAACCCCCACAATAGTGTTTTAAAACTCCTTCACTACCAAGTCGAAATGTGATAGCAAGAAAGACCGAGGAAGAGCGCTTAAAGGTAGTTCATGACGGGTGATAGGTTGGAAGGGAGAAGCACGTACGGGTTTTGGCCGATGCTAGTGGCCATTGTTTGTAGGGAAGGTTATTAGTCAAAACCATAAAACCTTCTGGTTTAGGGTGAAGATGTAGGACCTCATGATGTGTTTGCCATCACCCAAAAAGCCTTTTCCCCATGTCCAAGACAATTACCAGAACCCGTGTCTAAGACCATCAGACAAGCTAGTGATGACAACCTCCCTGTGAACTCTAACCTTTAGAGGTTGCCTCCGTGGTGAAGAGATGATAGGGCTTAGTGTTGATGATTCTGCACATTCTGTGCACCAAAGTGGTCCCAACCCCACTGGTCAAGCGAGTGAGTGATTCATTCTTGCTTAGCATGCCATATCATACCCAGGTGAGGACCTTTGTTGCCCCTTCGTTCGTTCCTTTGGCTTGAATGTTATGCATGGTTAGTTTTGGTTTATAAATGATCTTGTTGAGAAATGCATTGATTCATGAACAAGGTGAGAACTTTTTGTTTGCCCATTTTTGGTGACCACGAATGTTGTTTGTGGTGGATGTCGGTATTGCTTGCAACGGTCCATGTTAATTGCCAATAGCCATTGAGATTCTCCACTTTGTACCCTTTGATTTGTACACTTTTTACCCCCGATTATCTTGGACATTTGTTGCAATTGAACTCCAAAAAGGTTGGTTTTACACGAGGTTGCTTGTGTTTCAGTGTGTTTCAGATCCTAGCAGGTAAAACCAAACCCGGAGTCGAAAGCTGGAAGAAAAGGAGAAAAACCCGGCAACGAGGTGGAGACAGCCGTAGTTCACAGCCAGACGTTGGAGTTCACGATCTTACTAGACCGTGAACTGGATCCATGACCTTTGAAGCGATGAGCAAACAGAGGGGGTTTCAAGTTACTGACTCCCAAGCAGTTCACGGTCGCTAAGACCGTGAACAGGAGCCAATGACATTGAACCCCAGCAAGAGAAGCAGTGCGTTTTGGTCGCAACGCTGAGTTCACGGACACGTTTCAATGTTAACGACCGTGAACTCAGCGCGATCTCCCACTTTAAAGGAAAGTTGAAGGGAAGAAGAAGGAGAAGACCTAGAGTGAGAAAACGTCTCCTTCTTAAGATTTAGAGTGAGAAAGTGACGAACCAAAGAAGAGGAAAAACTAGGGTTTGATCTCCAAGCAAGGATTTGGGTTTTCTTCAGAACAAGGAGCAAGGCTTGCATCTTCATGATGGTTTTCCTTTCCCTCTTTTGTGTTTTCCCTTCTCCTAGCAAGGAGTAGTCCCTTATTTCACTTGGGTGTTTATAAGCCCTAGCTACATTTATGTGAATGCTTGTATGAATTGAATGATTTGTGTGTGGTTGTGTTTTAATGTGAATGTGGAGGTATTATTCAGAAATGATTGTGTTGTGTGAAAGCCTATCAATCTAATTGCCAATTTAACCTAGATTTGAGAGGGGACCTCCTTAGGTTAGGAGGTTCATTGGGTGTCTTTGGGCATTTCACACCTCTTAGGCTAGTTTAGAGAGGAAACCTCTTTAGGTTAAGAGGCTCATTATTGAGATGGGTTCTTGGGTATTTCATGCCTCCTAGGCTAGTTTAGAGAGGAAACCTCCTTCACCCAAGTGGTTTGGTTTCCTTGGGAATTCAAAGCCTCCTAAACTAGTTTAGAGAGAACCATTCTTAACCTAAGAGGCTCATTTCGAGATGGGTTTCCTTGGGCATTCAATGTCTCCTAAGCTAAGTTGGAGAGAACCCTCCTTAACTTAAGAGGCTCTACTATAGATGGGTTTCCTTGGGCATTCTATGCCTCCTAGTCTAGGTTAGTTAAAGGGCAAAGCTCCTAACTCGTATTAAACACTTAGCGTTTGGTTGTGGGTGGCCGTCCGAACTCCAATTCGAGGGTGAAGTCTAACCATTCCTTAGTCGATAGGTTGAGAGGGTCACATCAGTGCTTGGATCGTATCCCATTCCTCAACCTAGAGTCTAAGAGGGTAACTTTGGTTGCTTGTTAGACTTCCCTGCGGTTTATGAACCCCTAACCACACATGGTAGTTTGATTCTTCAAGTCATAATTGTTAGCTAGGGGGAGCAACACTCGGGTGAAGCTTTCTCAACTAGAGTCAAATGCATTTTACCTTTGCAAAGTAATTTAGTTTTCAATCTTTGTTTTCACCAAAACTGATCCGCTAGATAATGTTTCAAACAGTCAAAGTAGCGGTACATGGACTGACCCGGGTAGATATTTAAACAACTTGTCATATATTGCACCCATCTAAGGTTTATATTTGGACCTTAGGTTGGATTTTATTGTGATAGTTAAAGCGAGTCAATGTCAGATGACCCGTATCGAAATGCCACAAAAAGCCACAACAAAGAAAAGCAAAAGACATTAGCAATCTAGAGATACTTAACTCATTATTGTTTTCATTATGTTCTTATGGTTAATAAAACAAAAATGTCAATAAGCACCAGAGATACATAACTCATTATTGTTTTCATTATTTCCAACAAACGATTTACTTGAAAATTTAAAGTCACCGAGAACGATTTTGAAGAATTCATTTTTTCGCAACGAGCCTCAACGACTTTTCATATTATGAGAATATTTTTAAATAAATGTCATTTATGTTTGCGAAAACGTTATTTCGATGTACACAATAAGATAATAATGGGTGATAAAAACAACAAAACATAACTCTTGAGTGATACAGATGCTCTAATGGTGAAGTGAGAGGATCAAAAACATACTTGTGGCAAATAATCGGTTGGGTTAGGTGTGGATACTCACCAAACCCCCTCAGAAACATCACTTTTCCTTTCGGGTTCAGCGTAAAAACCAAACAAAAAAATTATATCGATTTGATTTTCTAAAAAAAAATCGATTCGAAATCAATTGAGTACCCATGGGGAGAGAATAATCTTTCCAAAATATCAAAGTTATATCTGCAATTTCCTATCTACAATGTAACTAATTAGATCATGTACGGTTCTCATCACAAATAAACTAGTCTCAAAGCACATATATCATTAATAGCATGCATGATCAATTGATTCAAACTTTCGTATGAAATTTTTTTATCTAGAATTATCCTAGATGCAATTTATTGTCACCCCCAAAGCAATAATCAAAATGATAAACACACAGGTGCAATTTTCTACCATACAAATTCGAAAAATCATAAATCATAAGAAAGTAGTTTCCTATCATACTCATATGAAAACAAAATAATCAAGTTAGAATAATAAACATTGATAAATAATACCTAAATATATAAATTTAGGGGGTTTTGTCCATCTTATAGATACAAAGCAGTGCTAGGTTGGTGACATTGGATTCCCAGCACCGAAGCAACATTATAATTGCCAAAAATTGAGGTTTCTGCTGCCACAAACACACTGTAGAATGACTCAATCGTAGGGATAAGCAAAGGAAAGAGGGGTAGTACTTCTTTTAGTCCTGCCGGAACAAATTTCATCTATCTAAGTTGCAAAACTTGTATACTATGTAAGTTGGTTAAATTTGAATCAATGTAGCAACGTCATTAGCAATTGGTAAATCATATTCTCTCCCATTCAGCATCCTTCTACCAAGAAGGTTAATCTTTAGAGGTTGAACATCATTTCGTACAATTTAATCTCCCGCAAACTGAAATGTTTGTACTAAAACATTATTCGCACCCAGCATGCCCTGTAGACTCTCCACAACATGATGTAACAATTATTAATAGAAGATCCCATAGAAACAAAATCAAAGTAGACTGTCCTTCAAAAGAAACTAACCCCCCCCCCCCCCCACACGATGATAGATTTGTCATCCAGTCCTCCAATGGAATAATCATAGACATCATGACCATCGTTTGTCGAATGATCCACCTTACAACCAAGAGAAATAAAGATGAAAATATTGTTATACTGATGAATATGTTGTCTAACATGTCGAGTAATAGCAAAATTAGACTCCAGCAACATCTTCAAAAAACTTTGGTGGATCACGTCATTTAGGAAGTTTCGCTTTTCCCCTAGTTGGTCAAGTGCATTCACTTCTCCAAACACACAGCACCACAGTATTGACATAAATAATCAGGATGACCAATTGAGAATTCTTCTACCACCGGATAACCTAAAATTCAATATATATAAAATAAACAGAATCTCGTATATACAAAAAAATTACCTGATTCAAACCACTTACCGCGTCAATGAAATCTTCTAGGAACTCCAAATTTCTTTCGTTTTCTCACAAATCTTAAGCATTCTCATGGTTATATTACGCTTAGCTTGAAAGGTCTTTACAGGGGTGACATACGACTATACGATAACAAAAATAACAACATGAAATAAAGAAAACAAATTAGAGATACTAGAAACATAAGCTTGTCATGAACATCTGCAAGCTGTCTATAGAGTTTTGAGATACTTGAAGTCTTCACCAGGCCAGGGAATCCATTTTAGCATAAAAAATGAGTTGAAACTGACTATGGTGACTTAGACTGGAGTAGTTATTCAGATACACGAAGATCAACAATGAGTTTTTGTACATTCTTGGAAAAATCTTTGCTGGCGTGGACAGGGGTGGAGCCAGGATTTGAGGTTCGGGGTGGCCGAAATTTTTTCGTTGACTATCATGAAATGCGAATTATATGAACACATTATTCAATTATATGACCAAAAATTAAATTTATATTGTATTATGTAGTGTTATTAAGACCGGACTGAGCCGGCCGGACCGCTAAAGCTGCCACCCGGGCACAAAATCTCTTGATTTTCCCCTTCCGACCGTTCTGTTTGATAAAAAAAATTGAAAAGGAAAATTGAAAACGAAAGGCAAAATCGTGGGGCTGGGAAATAAACCCTAACTCTCATTCAGTTTTCGTTTTCGACTCTCCATGAACAGAGGGAGAAGAGCGGCACCAAAGCCTGCCACCGTCTACACTTCCCGTCCTGGCTTCCCGTCGGCATTGTCGCCATCCCCAATCAGCGTAGCAGCTCCTATCTCGCCATCGCCAGTCTACGTCTCGTCCCCTCTTCCCGTAGAAACTCCTCCACTCCGTCGTCACTTCCCCTCCCGGCACTTCCTGTCGCCATCCCCAATCCCTATAGCCGCTCCCCGCTCGCATGTTTTGGAATTGTTAAGAGTGTAATTTACTAATTTAGTCATGGTTTTCCGTGATTAAGAAGTTTACACTATTTATACTGATTGTTTATTTGGTACCGGTTTTCTAAAAGTTTTTAAACGGTTTAATATCAGTTAGATCGCTAAAGACCGAGCCGTTCACATTATCGGATCATACTCCGGTTCGCTTTTGACAACATTGGTATTATGTTCCAAACAAGTGATTAGATTATATGAAAAAATAAATTATACATTTCAATGTATACCATGTCCTTCAATATCTTTATAACATATTAATGTTTGAAGTCAATAAATATAACCAAGACAATAAATAAGAATTCAAAAGAGTTGAAGATTTAAATTGGTATAGTGTAAAATGACTGACTTTATAAAGTAATTTAAAAAAAAAACTCAAACATTAATGTTTCCCTTAGTAATCGTGATCAATAGGAGAATTTTTTTGAAAGAAAAAACAAACACCTTGAAAACAAAATTAATAAACTACCTTCCAAGATTCAAACTCTAGATCACGAAGAAATATCATTGCATTCTTACCGCTAGACTGGAATCTCATTTATGATTCAATGTTGCACGCATAATTAATTATCCATAACCTTCTATTTATACGTGATTTCCCAAATTTCGTACAAAATTATACGTAGAATTTAAAATTCTTGCCTCCCCCCTCCCCCAGGCTTCACCTAACTCCGCCCCTAGGCGTGGAGAACCAAAAAGCGAACTATAGTATCAAATTCTTCGTGTGAAGCTAAGTACAAAGCACTTGCTCATATTCTGTGTGAGATTAAATTACTTAAACAATTGTTCGAAGAATAGGGATGACAACATATCTGCTGTAACAACATATCTGTAATATATATTGAAAAAAATCCAATATTACACGAAAGAACAAAGCATATTAAGATTGATATTCATGTAACAAGAATAGGGATGACAATTTTGCTCATAACCATGAGTATTTTTCTATCCAACCCAATTGGGTAGGCTATGAAATCCAAATAGATGGTAAATGGATAGAGTTTGATGGGTTTATACTTATACTCATTTATTTGGGTTGGGTTGGGTTGGGTTGAGTTTTTAATACATGGATTTGGGTTTATACTCATTCCCAAATACAAGTTACAGTTTGGTACCTAAACTTAATAGATCGACAAAATACACTTATAACCACAACTTTCACGTTTGTAATAGATATAGCCATAACTTTCGAAATACACGAAATAGCCAGAATTTTAATAGTTGTTTGACAAATCTAGCCATTTCTGTTACAAACTTTAACGGTGTTAGAGATTTCGTTAGTAAGGTTAACGACACGCTGACTAGGATGCCAAATTGATGCACACGTCTGCGACAACTCGACCTCACTTGTCACATAGATGCCACTTTACTTTAAAAAAAATTTAGTCAAAATACACTTCCATAGCCACAACTTTCACATTTGTGACAATTATACCCACACCTTTTGAAATCCAAGAAATAGCCCGATTTTGATGAGTTTTTCACAAATTCAGCCATTACCGTTACAAGTTTTTGAAATACACGAAATAGTCGCAACCTTGTCCTTGATTTTCCTAGGGCTCTGTTTGAGAGAGAATGCAACTAATCGAGCTAATTGATAGCGACGAATCGAGCTTCTTCGAAAACAAGAACAACCGTACCCGCTACAATTACGAGGAATTGGAAGGGAAAATGCACTACAAGTTACCACATCCTTCCTTCCCGACCCATCGTTCTCTGTCGCTACTGGAGACAGTGTCTCCTCTTTCTCGTTGTTTTTTTGTGACCCTGCCAAGCGTTGAGGCCTTCTTCAATCTAGCGATTGGGGATCTGAATCGACAATTTGGAAAATAAGGCATCTTTCTCCCGTCATACTGTTTAATGACACCATTAAAGGGATGGACATAAATGGTTATTTTGTGTTCAAAAGTTGTGACTATAACTGTCACAAATGTGAAAGTTGTGGCTATAACTGTTACAAACGTGAAATTTGTGGCTATAACTGTCACAAATGTGAAAGTTTTGGCTATGAAATTGTTTTTTTTTTTGTTAATGCGTACGCATAGATCTCCAACTAGCACTTCCGTCAGTCCACTCATACTGTTAAGTGACACCGTTAAAGAGATGGACGGAAGTGGCTATTTTGTGTATTTCAAAAGTTGTGGCTATATCTGTCACAAACGTGAAAGTGGTGGCAATGGAAATGTATTTTGCCTAATAGATCTACAGATTTAGTACCTATTTTAATTTTTTTTGCATATAAGTCCTCAAAATATCAAAGGAAAACGACATTTTGGTACCTTAATTTTTTGTCTTAAATTTTGACATCTAAACTTTTTAAGTTTTACAAATAGGTCCAATATTTATATGTGTAGTTAAAATACTCTCAAGTGAATGGATATCCATACTCAACCCATACTCATTTAGATTATGGAAGCAATATCCATATCTTACCAAAACCCATATATATACTTCACTCTCATACCCTACCCATTATCAATGTCAATGGATGTACTTGAATTTGGGTATAATTACCCACGGTGGGTAATTGTCATCCCTAAGGAGGGATACATTAAGCTGAATAATGTTAATATTGTCAACCAACTACCAGTCGTGTTCACTAAAGGCCTGGATCAATATCGTATGCAAAAAATTTTGATCAAATTAGGTGTTACCAATGTGGTGGAGCCAAACATGAGGAGGGATATCAAGATATGAAATCCAGAAGCGGGAAGTGAAGAAATAGTGATTAGTTGAGTTAATAGCTAATCACAAAGAAACGCATACATTATCCTTTGGATCAAATTATAAAAGGAAAGCGTGAGCTCAGAGTTTGATGTTCAGTCTACCCTTCTCCGATTCAACAAAGTAGTAACCACCATCGTCGCCGCGACGAAACCTCGGGACGTATCCCTGACCCTGAGGGTCCGCACCCGGCCTCTGCGGCACCACGATACGTGGTGGCCGACCCTGTAGAGCCGCCGCCATCCTCAACCTCTCTTTCTCTTCCAGATCTCTTTCACTTCTCCTTTGCTTCTCCACTATCTCGGCCAGCTTCGCCTTAAAGTCAGCTTCTTCCTTCCTCCGCCTCTCTGCCTCATCTGCATAAACCAGGCATATATATATAAGACTCACATCACTCATTGAAGCCATCATCAGCTTCACCATCTACAAACCTTAAGCGATTGACGATAACAATGGAGAATGGACAATTTTACAAATTTAGACAAACAAAACCCTACCTTCTTGATCAGCGCGATTCAACGCCTTCTCCAGATTCCCAGAACACGAAATAGTGCAGCAAGTACAATGAAAACCCATCAGATCGAATAGAGAATATACAAACGAACTCTGAGACACAATCGCAAAAGAACGAGAGACCGGTCTCAATTGCAGCAAAGCCGAGGAAGAGAGTTTTACCTTGGGATATCGTGTGATGGTCGTTGGTTGGAAAGAAGGATGATTATATATAAGGGTTTGGGAAGAAGGATTTTTATTTATGAGTCCCGACGGGAAACGGAGTCTAGGAATTTTGTTTAGGATGCATTTAGGGTTGTAAATGAGTCGAATCGAAAAAAATTCTTGACACTCGAATCGTTTATTAACGAGTCGGATCGCGAGAACATGCTTAGTTTAATAAGCTTGTGAGTTAGCTTGACTCGATGGCTTGTTGAGATAAGCTCGCGAGCTGGCTCAACTCTATGGCTCGTGTAGCTCAACTCGTGAGTTGAATCATCTATAGCTCGCAAGTTGAATTGACGCTGTATATATATATATAGCTTCTTAGTTTTGAGTTTTCTTTCATACTTTCATTTACTAAGGGAATAAGTATGTTTAGGGTTCATAGCTATTGTCTTAATTAGTGGTAACTTTTCACGTGTGTGTGTTAGAGACTAGAGTTAAAATATAAACCTTGGCACATAGAGGGAATAGAGGCAAATTATCATCTATCAGAGTTAAAATGAAAACCCTGGAAATAATCAATAAAAATATTGACTTAGTTCGAACCGGAGTACAAGATACAAGGCTACGTTCAAACCAACATCAACACCAACCTACCTAAACCACTTTTGTTGAAACAATGTTGCATAAAGATGTATTTGAATGTTTCCCTTGAGAACATTAAAATCCCCAACAAAACTCACCAAATTTATTAATTTGGGTTGATATCTTATTTTGGGGGTCGGTAAGTATGCTAACCCCCTTCCTTATTGGTGAATTTTTTTATTAATCATTTGACATGTATTAATGAAAGTAGACATAATAAATGCAACTTGTAGAATTTAATACTCTAATGAAATACAAATTAAGAATTAAATACAACACATTAATTACTTGTATTTTTTAAATCTAAACCTATACAAAATTCAATTCTCTCTCCTATCTCTAATTCTTCTCGCTCCTATCTTTGATCCTTCCTTTTCCAGCAACCTCCGACCAACTCCTTCCCAAGCCCCTCTCCCGGTGAGTTTTCAATTTTCAGATATGACTTTTCGATTTCCAGATCTAATTTTTGTGTCACTGCACTGATATTTGTACCACTGCACTTAAACTCAAAATATGGTATTTGTACCAATGCACTGGTAGAACTACCAATGCACTGGTAGCGATATCAGTGCACTGGTACAAATGTCAGATCTAAGTATCAATGCAGTGGTACAAATACCAGTGCAGTGGTACTACATATCAAGTGGCCAGAGAGATTCTGTCGGCGGGATTTCACCGGCAAAGTGTGGTTGTCGGAGGAAGCTTGGTGGTCGGAGGCTGTTGGGAAAGGAAACATAAGAGATATGAGAGAGAATTGTATTTTGTATAGGTTTAGATTTTTTTTTAAAAAGTAAGTAAGTAATGTGGTGTATTTAATTCTTACTTTGTATTTAATAAGAGAACATTCATTTTGTTTACTTTCATTAATATTTGCCAATGATTAATGAAAAAATTGACCAATTAATTGGGGGTAGGCATGCTAACCGACCCCTTATTTTGGCCCAAACTATGACCATATAATCAACTTTGGCCCGTGGTTTTAGAAATTTACATCATGGCCTCAACTATGCACCATATAGACTCAATTGGCCCGACTCGTGAGTTTCCGTCAAATTAGACAGTCAACACATTGACCTTTAGTGAATCATCATGCTAGCAGACGTGGATGCCATGTGGAAATAAGAATTAATACAAAATTAATAATGAAATAAAAAGATAAACTGAAATTAAAATAAAAAAATCTCCTTCGCTGCTCCTTGTTGTCGTGCCTCGGCAACGACTTCGCCTGACACCCTGGTTGCCGAGCTTTCGCCAGCCAACTTCATCTCTGCCGACAAGCATCATCGCTCTTTCTCATCACCCAAGCTCTCGAACAAGCCAACCCTTCCCTAAGTCGAAGTCAATGTTTTTTGAGGTAGTGAAAGATTTCGGCAAATTTAGGGTTCAAATTGGGGATTTCTCTAATTCTGAAGTGGGTTGAAATTGAAGGGTGACTAGTAGTTGTTGGGTAAATTTGGATAGCAATTACCGACGAGAAGTGCAGTTTGGATAGATTAGTGGATATATTTGTGGTTATTTGAAGCTTTGCCAAAAGCTTCGACCTTTTTCTCCATAAAAGAGTGTTCCTCCCACGAACTGGAGGCTTTCACAAGCCTCCCTTTACTTGAGACTCAACCAAACCCAAGTTCCCGAATTTTTGTTCTTCCATACCCAGTTCACTATCCGGGTCGTTACTTCACGCCTCACTATCAAAATCCAGGCTTTCCTATTCCCCTATTTCAGTGGCATCACCGCTCGAACCCAGCTTCTTCCTCCCCAACAGCGGTCGTGAGTCTCTCGGCAACCTTCCATCTCGGCCGCCAACCAATAACCCACAATCGGCGAGACCGTTCCACCCATTTCCTCATGCATCGCCGCCAAATCATCAAATCCCTTAGTGACGCTCTGTCTTCCAGATCCAGACTGCTCTCTGTCTTCCAATAATCTTCCAATCGCCTCAAAGAATGAGAAGGGGGGGGTGGAGATTATAGATAATGGCGCTCCTGCTTCACGGGAGCCGCCACCGTCGATTTCGAAGGGGGTTTACGCTTTTACGCGCTTGAGGGTGAGAGAGACAGTATCGTCGAGGATGAGTTGTTGTAGTTTCCGTTGGAGCTGGAACCCAAAGGTGGAAGCTCTTTGTAGAGGGAGGAAAGGAGTGAATTCGGATGGATTTTGCGGGGGGGAGACAATGGGACTTTGAGGATTTTGGTGTGAGCTCGTTCACTCTATTCTTGATAATGGTGGGAATGGAGATACAGGGAAGAAGAAAGGTTAGGGAGAAAGAGGGGAGGGGATAAGTGGGGCGGGCTGCCGATTTTTCCCCATTATTTATTATCTTATTAATTAGATAAAGGAAACAATAAAATAATTTGAATTTTATATTTTATTTTATTTTGTGCTGACATGGCACCATTGATTAACGGTCAACAGTATTGACCGTCCAAATTGACGGTCAAATCATGAGTCAGGCAAATTGAGTATATATGTTGCATAGTTCGAGCCGGGATGTTAATTTCCCAAACCACAGGCCAAAGTTGATTATATGGTCATAGTTCGGGCCAGAATAAGGTATTAACCTTACTAATTTCTATAACATCAAAGAATTGCATGATGGGGGTTTAGGATTTCGCCGGTTTGAGCATTTTAACCAGGCCCTCTTAGCTAAGATTGGCTGGCGTATTCTCAACGAACCTCACTCCCTCCTTGCTCAGGTGTATAAAGGGAAGTACTTTCCTCAATGAACTTTTCTATCTGCTACAACTCGTTCACGCCCTTCTTGGGGATGGCAGAGTATCCTGTTTGGGCGCCAGCTATTGGAGGCAGGTTTAAGATGGCAGATCGGCAATGGCCTTTCGGCCTCCCTTATCCACTCTAATTGGATCCCTGGGCTTCAGCTGGATCCCCTTTGCTATAATCCCCGGGTCCTGCCAGATGGGGGGATCCCTTGGTGGCGGAGGTTATTTGCCAAGGGGAAGGGCGTTGGGCGGAGGATAAGCTTCGTCAATGGTTTGACCCATCTATCGGTCGAGCCATTAAGGCTATCCCACTTCTGAGGCTGAATGTGGATGATAAACTAATCTGGCATAACATTCCTGATGGGGTGTTCTCGGTTAAGACGGTCAATCATCTGGTAGTTGAGCTAGACAAGAGGAGGGGTGGGTGGCGGGCCTCGGTTAGTTGGATGGATAGGCAAAGCTAGATCTGGCTGTGGGAAGCTAAGATTCCTCCTAAGCTGAAAGTCTTTGTCTGGCAAATTCTTCATCGGGCTCTGCCAACCACCGAGGCTCTCATTGAAAAGAAGGTTCCTGTGTTGCCCTGGTGTCCGGTATGCTGGGATGGTCCCGAGACTATAGAGCACATGTTTCTTTACTGTCCGGTCGCGCGGGCTCTCTGGGACTACTCGGGATTGGACTATTTAGGAGAGGGTTTGCCTCGGCACACGTTTCCGTTGTTTCTTAAGCGGATGCTTGCCCTTGTCCATCATCCGTCGCTGTTTATGGCTGTGGTTGCCATCCTTTGATGGATCTGGCGATCACGGAACTGGGTTGTCTTTGAAGGCAAACAGTTTGGGATTTCGGCTTTAATGCGCCGATTTCACTAGCAGTACGAGGAATGGGTGGGTCTGCCGGACCAGCCGTCGAGGATATCCTGCCCGGTGGTTCAACCAGGGACCCAAGTGGATGATTCTCGTTTGGTTTTCATGTGGGATGGGGCCACTAGGAGGGGGTCACACTCGGCTGGTGAGATGGTTCTTTTTGATCCGGGGTGGACGCTCCTTCGGGCTAAAGGTGTGCAATTTGCGCAAATTGATGAGCCACTGGTTGTGGAGTTGCTTGTGCTTTGGGAGGCTGTCATCTGGTGTTTAGAGTGTGGCTTGTCCGAATTTCGGTTCGAGGGTGATGCGAAGGTCATTATTGACAAGATTAATCAAGCCAACACGAGCGACAGTCACTTGGGGGCAGTCCTGAAAGAGATTTGTTAGTATTTTGGTGCCCATCCGGGGTTTAGTGTGTGGTTTGTAGGTCGAGAGAGCAATAGGGTAGCTCATTCGGTAGCTAGAAAAGCCCTCTCTTTGTACCCGATTGTAAATCGGTTCTTTGATTTCAAGGCCTGGCTACTATCCAGGATGTTACTATCTTTTTGATTGGATTAATATATGATATCTTTCGACAACAAAAAAAGGTAGGTCTCCATATCTATAAGAGGGAAAAAAAAGTTTGCCCCCATCCTGCATCCCAACGTAAAATTACGAGCTTTCAAAGTTTGACAAAATCACTAAATAAGCTTATTTTAGAAAAAGTCATGACTGCAGTTTTGTAGATCTCGAAAAGTTAAACGAAATTAATTTTTTTTTGGCCCAAATCGGATGAACGAGCGAAAAAGTTAGGGTCGTTTAAAGTTTTCAAAAAATCTA